ATGTTCAGGACGCGGCAGTAGCAGGCGCAGAGAGCGAACGCGGCGTCAGGGGCGGCGAGGGCAGGCGGAAGGCAGAGATGCTTAAGCCGCTGTGGTGTGGTGAGATTGAGGGCGAGTGGGAGGCGCTGAAGATTGGCGCCGCTGCTGGTGTCAGAGGAGTCGGGGCATTAGTGAAGGCCGTAGATGCGCTGGTTAGAAGGCCTATACCTGGCCAACAGCAGCAGCAACCACAGCAGGCGTAGGGTGTGTGAAGAATTAGGATTAGGAGTAAAACATGAATCTGGGCGGTTGTATTATATCTTTCCCGTTCTCTTTTCTTAAAATCGTTGTGTTTTTCTTTATTCTGTCACTTGGTTTTTTTATGGTGTTTTTGTGTCTAATTTATCCTCTTTCCTGTTTTTTTTTCTCTTCCTTCTTACTTAACTTACTACCTTTGAGGAGCGGATCGGTTTGGACAATGGACCTACATGCATATAAGTATATCAGAGCTCTATCGAGAGCCACAGCAAAGTACCCTCGTTTGCTGCGCACTTTCCCTGTTTTTGCTGTTGGTTTCTGTTTGCCCTACTTACTTTACCCGCCCCCCGCCCACTATTGCATTTTTTGCTCATGTCTCTAACTCTTCTTCTATTATCACTATTTTTCGTGCATGGCCGATGGCGGGGGGTTTCGTTTCATTTGTTCCATGTGTTACGACCTGGGGCGGCGGCGGTGGGCGGGGTGGATGGTAATCTTTAAAAAATTGGGAATGGGGTGGGGGTGGGGGTGGGGGTGGGGTGGGGTATAGATAGATCTGAATTTGAAAGACTTTTCTCGACGGAAGAATTGGGTGTATGTGGGGGAGCCGGTAGAGAGCTGGATTCAGCTGGTTTGTGGTGTCTTCAATTGGTTGTGTGGTGCTTGTCAGGAAGGTAGAAAGAGCAGTGGTTATATACATCATGTAGTGATAGTCCTGAGATGCTTTATTGGAGTTGTGAGGAAATGTACTATAGCCCCATGAAGACGAGATTGGTTCATGCCCTCCATCTTCTTGGAATGAACATATCATGTCGTTTCCCTTGGAAATCAGCGTGATGATGGGAGGCCGTGGGTGCTCTCCCCGCCGAATTAAAGAAAATCGTTATGACCTCACGTTAGTGTTTCCTATTCTTCATGTGTTGGCATAAGAAGCCTATATTTCTACAAGACAATTGCAAAGTTAAAAGAAGAAAAATGGAGGTAAAAAAAGAAGAAAAAAAGGAACCCGCCCTAAGGTTTTTAACCAAAAGCAACAAAAGAGAGGCATTGCGCGCTGCTCTTTTTGACCCAGTCACACAGTGTTTCCACCAAGCCTGGGAGGTCTATGGGCGATTCGAACCGCCAACCTCGGCCCCTCTGGGCAACACCATAGCAACTGGGCTACGGCGGTAGATGGTGTGTTGGAGCTGGGAAGGGGGCTCGTACGAACAGGTGACCACATCTTCGATATCTACCCCCTTCTGTTTTCCCCATCTTCCTATGCCGTCACAAATACAACATGACTCTTATCAGCTTTTTATCCTCCCTGGCCCGCAAAGGACCATCATTGAATTGCACACAATAAATACTCTACTACTTTCTCAGGTTTCAGTAAATGTACTCTATACCACCCGCAAATATATAACAGACCGGCTCTCTATAATAATTACCCTTTCTAAGTGTAGGATCACAAATATAAGTGGAGTGTCTTAACCCATCTGACATCTGTTTATGGATAGATACTATAGTTATGAAAACTCCCTACTACGCTTCTCTGGCACGACCGCTGCTACTTATCTTAGTTTACATAGGCATTAGTATCGGTAATGACAACAAGCCCCATAGCAACAGACGGCCAAGACACTGCCTGTCCGGAGATAAAGCGGCTTTGACTCTGCTTCAGATGAACCCCCACGAAAAGGGGCTGCAGGTACGGCCGAAGACCGTCGGTCTCAGAGTTGTAGTAGAAGTACTGGCTGACTCGGAGGTTCATTTTTAGATGAGTTTAGTGCTCGAACTTAATATGTTGGAGTAGATAATATAAGCTACGGGAGCCGTAAACGGAATGAGACTCGAGGACAGATGAGGGTCACTGAGCTTTCTAGGGGTCTACCCGGCCCACACCAGCAAAGAGCATTCTAGGGCGAAAGAAGCTATCTCAGCTAGGAATTCCTTAAGTTTCTGAGATATACTCACCTCTTACGAGACCACGTTCGTTTCTAGGGCCACGGGACATGATTCGATCCAAGTTAATCTCTCGCCAACAACCCATGTGGATTTTTGCACCTACACCAACATCGTCCACATGCACAGCCAGCAACAATGACAACTAAAACTCCTCTAAAAAGACACCTAACTATAGGGAAACGTTTTCAACCCCACACCACCCTGTCACGAAACATATCACGCAGATTTGATCATAGCTATCATTACCACTTCATAGGACGTCACTCGGGCTTGGCACAGAAATACTTTTAGCTGACTATAGTAGTACATACCACCAGAAACCAGCGGAGAACTACGGCAGCAACCGGGCTCTGTCTAGGTATTTGGTTTTTGGGCTTACTGTTATCGGGATAACTGTCTGGTGTTTGAACATATATTATTTCGTTTACCTTACAGATATTTTTGGTAAAATGGAATAGTATAAAGGTTACTCAGGACACGTAGGACTCGCCGGATTGTTGAGGAGCGGCCACGGGTTAAGGGCCTAGATTTACGGTCAGATGTCGGTGGATAGCCGCTTTTCGTACGACTCCTGCGGGAGCAGGATTAATGCTGGCCGCACTATCATAGCTATTACGTAGCAATTACCACTTACTCGTGCGACCGAATCATTTTTGGGTGGTGAATACGTGTATTTTGTCTTATCAGATTCTGATCACTTTTCGCAACACCCTAGTTTATTGGAGATCGTAGAGTATATCATATATGAAGTGGCATAGTGGGAAAATAATCTCGATTACTACTAACGTGTTTCACTGGGAACGCAATCGTCACCGGGAAAACAATCAAGCATGCCATGAACGGGATCGCGAATTGCTGTGAAAATTCAAAATCACCCAGAGTTACAGAATTAAATACACTAAAGTCATTTCGAAATATCTTTTGAATATTTATGACGATCATCACTAATAGATTGTGAGTATATAGCTGTGTGAGGGCCATGACCACCCGATGACCCTCCCATTGCTATATACTTGATATGATCATAAGAAATAGTCAAAAACACCAAAAGAACTCTACAATACATGTATGGCTTCATAGGTATTGCTTTGGCGCTCATAATGCCCCCCTGTGAGGTTCGGTTGCTTTCCCGGTGAAACACGTTAATGGAGACCAAAACAAAACAAAAATGCGAGTACCGCAGAAACTCGCCAACTTGATTATCTCCGTGCAGGGATTTCTTCATTGATGATTGGCTGAAAGGCAGAGATCAGCTTCAGATATTTCCTCTACAAGTTAGTTTTTGGTCAGATCCGCTAGCAAAGTTCGTGAGTTTTTGCGGTACTCGAGACAAGGATCATCCCGATTTCTTTTTGGTTCTTTTCTTCTGCACACACCAGCAGATGCGACGCAGAATTAAGACAGGTCACAAATAAGCAGCAAAGGAAATTACATGAACTTCAAAATAAAGATAAACAGAACACATGCCTAACGCCAGAAGGAACACCCTCTCCTCCCATAAGAGGAAAAAGAAACAGGAGATTAATACAAGAATACTTTCACTCACTACGTACCGGCACAATGATCTTTTCCGTCAACCAATTCGCTCCAAACAGATGTTCACATCATTTGTACCAACCTTTCCGATCCGTTCCCGCTAGTTTATATCACACCCGCGAACATTACCGAAGATACGCTCATCGTATTTTGGGCATGTACGCGGTTGTATCATCAAATTCAAGAAACGGGTGGATTGATTGGCACTAATATCATATTCATCTGAGAGGAGCGAAGTGGAGGCAGGAGCAGACTACATTGTAGCGGATGAAGAGGGAAGAAAAAGAGGGCAGACAGAGGGCAGACAGAGGGGGTTTATATACAATTTAGACCACCGTGAGAGAACCAGTAACTTAGTGATCGAAGTGGGGCTGTTGCCTAACAGTGGCTGCCTGAATTCTGTTTGCCTTGTTTATTTACTTGGCGATTCTTGGCAATGGTGTGATTTGTTTCCCGGTCCTATCAGAGATTATCGCTTTTGGCTTCTCTAAACGAAATACTTGCGTCTATTCTTGTGTTTGCCGTGAAACCTGTTTTTGTCTCTATCCCGGAAACTGTGTTGGTGGCGTGAATAATCATAGAATCTCACTCGTTCTTGGCATTTCCAATTTATGAAAGAGGGTTCTCATAGCAGCGGTGAATATATTTACCACAAGAAGGATTAGGCTAGCCCGGGTAGTAATGTTGGCAACGAAAAATATTACATTAATCGTGTAGGTAAGCTCCCTAGGTATGTGGGACGTTGCTGGCTGTTTCTTGTTTTCACTAGAGTCTAGGGTGGAACATAAATTACGATCGATAAAACTGATGTAGACTTAGTGAGGACAGGGCATATATTGATGTAGAAGTCTAGGAGTTACAGAGAGTAGTCTCAGCGTGCATCCCTCGTACGTCGCCTTTAGTCCCCATCGGCCACATCTCCTAATCGCGCTTATTCATAGACATACTGAGCATCCTCTAGCGTCACGAGCCACAACGTGTTCTCAATTTTGTGGTAATTTCTTAGGCATAGCAGTGTCACATCAGTGGATCAAGTATCAAATGGATCTAGATACTTACGGCAGTACTATACTGTTTGGGCATACAGGAGAGTTCACAGTAGTTATGGGCAGTTTTATACAAAAGTGGCAATTGATCAGTAGTGGTGAAAAGGAAAGAAAATGATAGATTCATAAGTATTACACTCAAGAAATTTGCTTTGATGGTTATCAGCAAATATTATCAAGTGATGCGGAGTATAGACAAAAACTTACCTATGTATATTGATTTAAAGCCGTCTATCAATCGGATCGTTTCACCCCTCTATTGCCGGACTTGGCCAAAACCCCCCGAAGGCTCTCCCGAGTTAATTGCTTGGGGGTTGAAGCATCAGTTGATGACCACAACCCCTTGGAGCCTCTTGCTGCAATTGTCTCCTTCACCGGATCGACCAACTGCCTCGTTTCGACTTCGTCCGAATTTCTCGGATTGTAAATGGAGGGAAGCCTAATGCTCGCAATGCTTGGGGAATACTCCGGGAGGTTGGCTTCTGGGGTCGTTTCGACCCCTTCGGGATTTTCACCGCCATCGGGCACCTCTCTTCTGCTTCTACCGCCCAGCCCCATTTTGTACTTGACCCTCTCAGTTAGGGTCGGAGTCTCTCGGGCACCCCTCATGTAGACTGGCTGGGGCGTTACCCTGGCTAGAACAACCTTGAGCTTGAGCTTACCGAACGTTGGCTCGATGCCAACGTTCCAGATCCTACTCAAGGCTGTCAGAGTTTTACTGCAGAATCCTGAGATTCTACCGCTCGGTGGGGTTGATGATACAACTTCAATTGTATCTGGCTCGACAGGCTGGGAAGGATGGAGATCGGGGCTCCCCATCGAGATTTTGTCTCCCAACGCGGTATCGCCAGTACTGCGTTTGGCACCATCACCCAAGGATTCGGCAGCGGGAGTCTCTTTTTCCTCTCGTGCGTCATTCTTTGGGGCATTGTTCACAAGGGCTTCCCCTAAAGTAGCCACAAGTTAGAGTCTTGAACATATTCCATTTATAGTTTGGCCACTACTAGGTTGCTGAAGACCTATAGATACATGTAGTAAAACATAGAAACATAAGAGGATGATCTTCCTTACCATCCAAGTGGTCAGCACTTGCAGAGTTGGCATGAGGATTCCTCCTCATGTGACTGGTCTTTTTGATCAGCCTTTTGGTTCTCTTTGCTGGTGCAGTCTTGGTGGTGGTGGGTTCTGGGTCCGGGGATGACTTCGGCCCATCTTTGCCCCTAAGAGATGACCACACAGTCCCGCGCTATTTGATAGAGAGACTTTAATTAGAGGAGTTGCTTCTAGAGACTTAAGATGAATCCAAAATTGGAATTGAACTTACCGAGATTTTACCCCGAATCTCCGTCAATCTCATCCTCCAACCCTTAAAGCTCCTTTTGCTAGCCCTAGCCACTGTTTCTGTTTTACTGAGGTTATCGTGTTCGATAGAAAGGTCTGGTGATGAGACTCTTGAGGTCGACGCAGGTGATGAAGGTGGATTGGGGGTTGGTGGGGTTCCCTCACTAGACGTGGAACCAAAGCTTGCCGGAGTGCTAGCGTCCTGTGTAGCGTCGCTGACCCGTGGCTTGCTGGTATATCCTTTAGATCCCGCCCACATGGGTGGAGGGTATCCCAAGCTATTTCCCGGACCAGTTAAGCTTCTCGGTACGGCAGTAATTTGACAGGTGCTGTCGTCATTCTCGAACAAAACACTGGGTTTGTTTGAAAATGGATTCAAGTGCGCTTTTTCAGGAATTTGTGGCTTTTGGTCTCTTTCTAGTTCTTCGGGTTCTTGTGCCTGGTCATTATCAATCAAATTTTTAGGAACCAGATTTTCTTCCTCTCCTGGTCTGGATTCAGGTGAGTAAGGGGAGCTAACATCCGCAAGAAGTGCACCGGAAACATTGTTAGGTATAGAACTACTCCCAGCGGTATTGTGAACGTGGTTAAGCTCCTCGGCTTTTGAAGGAACTGTGAAGGATTTCGAGAAATCTATCAAATAATTATAATACGATGAAAAGCTGCTGGTTCTAATTGGCCTAGGAGTGGAGACTGGTGGTTGATTGGTATCGTTCAATGAGTTTCCCATTCCAATACGGGCTTCAGCTAACAGTTGAGAATTCGTCTTCATAATATTAAATCCTCTAACTGGAACTCTAGATAAAGTCAACTCTATCATATTGTTATGGAATTTGCTGATTGACTTACAGTTGTAGTTCTCCTTGCCTTCTAGGTGGTAGATTCTCATACGTCTGCGTTGGAAGTATTTCCGAAAAACTGGAATGCGATTCAGATAAATTGTTGCCAGCAGTATCACGTGCGACCAGTTCCGGATACTCTGTTGGACGCATTGTTTCCTGTCTCACACATTTTAAATCATTCGATTTATGCTGAGACTCGGCATTGACGTCCTGGCTGGCATTACAGTCTGGAATGTGACGAAATGGGCTGTTCTCATTTACATGAGAGACTCCTGGTTCATTCATAGACTCGGGCTCAGGGCTAGTCTGCCTACTGATATCTTGATACCTATTTTCCTGACGAGGGCTGCTATGCTGAAATATATTACTGTTAAACTCATCATGGCTCTCATGACCTCCTGGTCTAAGGATAGAGCTCCATGAATCCTTTGAAATATGTTCACTTGGGGCTACAAGGCATCTCTCATTAGTGTCCAGATAAAGGAAAACTCGCAGTTAAAGAGAGCGGCAGAATCGTACAACTAGGGCTATCATAGACTACATTCCCTTCAGCATCGAGATCTCTGAACAGGGTTCGTGGTTGTTCGGGGGGATCAACTCTAGCTTGCGCCTGAGACCTATTTTGATTGTACCCTCTCAAATCCTCAAATGTTTTGAGTGTCTGACGAGGTCTCTTTGCCCTAGTTGGAGTTCTGGAAAACCGGGGTGAACTCCTATTTGTCTCAAGAGATATAGTAGGGGAATGAGTGCTGGCCAAGCTCGTATCCTTTTTCCCCAAGTTCAACGGTAATATCGTCGTACTGGGTGGCAGCGGAAAGTTGTAATCATCAACATTAAGGCCATCATCCTTCTCATTATTATCATCATCATGATCATCTATTTCATGATCTTCAGTGTGCTTAATGAGTTCAAAATCTTCATTATTCCGTGACATTTTGATATTTCAACAATTGACCTTCCGGCGGAACGACTGTGGGCCGCAAATCTGGGGGGATTAGGAGCTGTTAGAGGCGAGAAAAAAAACACTAAACTTAACGGGCTGGAATTACCAACTCTACTTGTAAGTTCACCCCCTTAGTCTCTGTTTGTGCGAGGGGGTTAAGTGACTTAATATAGGGACAGGTTCTGCAAAAAAAGAAAAAGAAAGGGATTTCTCGTATGTTGGTGAATTTTCACGAGAATAAATGTATCGATGGGTGATGAAAAGAGGCGAGGTGCGGAACCCGCACAGTACAAATTGTATTCAATAGTTTGCCTCATATCTTACCCTTGTACACAACCCGAGCTAAGCTTTGCGGCTCGGGAGCTAACGAATCTACCCGTATGTGGTTCTAGTAGTCATATGGAAAGTTTAAATTCTAAAAATCGTCATCATGTCACCGTACCCTCGGTACTCATAATTTGTATAAAGTCAGTTTTTCATTGATAAAATACAGAACATTAACTACATCACGACGTATATTGACAGAATGAAATAGAGTAGACCAACATTCCAAAATTCTTAAAAGTGGTTTAAAGAGGTCTTTCAAAAGTGTACATTAATATTGATTTTTTTCGAAATAATCAAGCAGACACAACGTACAGGTGTAGATATCAAATAATCTACGCGTAATTATTCAAACCCCTTTTTAATCCTGCATGCATGTGCAGTAAGTGACTGAGCTTGTCCATCACTTTAAAGGATTATTACCTAATCAAGGTTAGTCTCATGTTGTGTCACTACGCGCAATTATGCTATCGCCGCGTCTTCCCAGAGTCAGCGTGGCACCCTTGAAATCGACTCTCAAAGTACGTAGAGAGCTATATATCCACGCGGTAGACCGCCAGTCCTAACTCACTCCTTTAGCTGCTTCTACTCCACAAACTTCGTACTCAACGCTCTCTCCGAGGTTATTTGCCACGATGCCTTTAGGTTTCGAACGTATATTCACCGGTTCCGCTATCCTGGTGAAGTGTAACTAATTGCTGAGTATGGGCCATATGCATAGGACTGAATGTCCGAAAACAACCTCCAAACAAACTCATCACTTTCGTTTCACCCCTCGATGGACCCGACAAAGCTATCGCTCAGGACTTTCTAGAGAGGGTCGCTGCAATAGTCTATCCAGTGGGTTTCTAGTAAACAGTATTACACATACCTAGAGCCTTCACTAATATCAATCACTTGATAGATAATGAGAGATAACGGTCTAGCCGTCATGTCGTATGTTTCAATATGGCATACAAATATATTACTGGAATAAATAACCTGAAATATTTGCGATAGTCTCGACGAGTTCCCCACGAATAAAGAGTTCTGGGGAAGAAACTGTGCGTGCATCTACCTTCAAATACACTAGTCAACTGTAGCTTATATAGAAAATACAGTCAATGCCGGCGAATGCATCCAGCTTGTCCTCAAGAATCCCAACACAGGCCTCTGGCTCCCCTTCCAGTTTGTCCAAGGAGTTATGATTCACGAGTTAGCACACATCAAGCAAATGGTACTCGCCACCGGGATGCTGGATAGATGAATAACAAGATACAAACCCGCTAACCCTTGCGCAGAATCATTCTCGTGCATTCTGGTCAGTTAACAACAAGTTCTCTGCTCAACTCAGCACTCTCCGCTCCACTGGCTACACCGGAGAAGGCTTCTGGTCTGCTGGCCGTGTTCTAATCTCCTCGGAATGTACCCAGGACCGGCCTCTTGCTGAAGTAGACATGCCGAATTCTCTCTGTGGTGGAACCTACCGTACCCGTACACGCACTCGCAAGAACAGAACTGGTGCAGACCAGGCCACAAAAAAGCCAAAATTAACGTATGCCGAAATCCAGCAACGCAAAAAGGAGCGGAAATTCGGTACAAGTGAAGGTAATAAGGTTGGTGCAGACGAAGACACAAGAGTCCAGCTCGAAAAGGGTGCGAAGGTAAAGAGCGCCCCAAAGGTTGCTAGGAGCGTTAGAGGGAGAGAGCTACGAGCTGCAGCGGCGTTGAAGAGATTTGAGACCCAGGTGAAAAAATCACCGGAGGATGGGGATGAGGATAGTATGGATTATAGTGATAGGGAGGACGAGAAAGTCATTGACGTTGGCGGGGGTAGATTTTTGGTATCTGTTAGCAAAGAGGAAGATGGCGAGGACGAGGAAAAAGCGATGAAGAATGAACTTATGGGATTGGCGGGAGCTTGCGGAACAGACGGCGATAGCGGCAGAATAGGCACTGGTGAGGGGAGTGAGAAGCCGCGAGTTGTCAGAGATGCGCGGAAGCGCAAGTCAACCTCAAAAGAGAGGTCAGAAGCAATCACTATATGCGATACGTCAGATGATGAGCCTATCTGCGTCGATTCGAAAAGCTCACCTAAGAAATCAATAACCAAAAAACAGATAAGAGGAGAGACTGCTACTTCCCCCATCAGCATAGGACAAGGGCTTCAATCCCGGTTTGAGATCTCAGGAGGTTCGAAGGGAATATCCTGCTCGTGCTGTTCAGTCACCAATGAGCCCAATGCAGTACTTTGTACAGTTTGTTCTAATGTTCTGGAGCCAGAAAAGACGGAAAATAAATGGAAGTGCCTAAGGGCCCCATGCAAAGATACCTCATATATAAATGCTGGAGATGCAGGAATCTGCGGTGTCTGTGGTCAGAGGAAGCAAACATAGGAGACTTGAAAATTTGTTGAAATTGGCTAGATTAGATGGGAGTTTTGGTTTGTATTTTTCGGAATACCATATATGCAAAGAATGTAAGAAATGCGTTTTATATTGGCTCTGAGCGACTTGTGGCGTTTTTTACGGCTATGATTTGGAATGACATTATGACAATAAAGTCCTAGAGAAAAAACTACTAGAACGCCTCTCAATTCCAATAATCTACAACCTAGGTTCGGCCCTATCAAGGGTGAGGGGTTATAAGAACCAGGCCTTTCAAGAATCTGGAGTTCTCGGGTATGTTACATAAAGTAAAGTGGAACGTCACTGAGTGATCACCCCCAAACCCCGATTTCTATTTCATTAGTATATCTTTTTAGTAATAGGCAAATGGACTGGAAGATTGATGTCATTATTCTAATTTAGCTTGTTGAAGCTGACCACTGTCACTGGATGAGGCAAAAGACTTTCAAGGTGCTACTGTTTGAGATGGGTCTAACTAGATGAAACCTTGCTCCAGCTTCCTGTAAGTGGTGGTGGATAAATCTCTTTATATTTTACCGTCCGAATTGTTTGGATAAGAGTATCGTTCAGAAGCGAATTTACGGCCTAAGATTTCTCTGAAACCCGAAAGTACCGAGTACCAATAGAATGAATCGGGTAACGAAGTAACTTTCAGTTGAGTGTCTCAGCATCTAGTGGTAGAGTTTCCTACTTGCTCCAAAGACCAAATCTCAGACACATGTAGACACCATAGTCAGATGCCTGAGACACGTAGGTACATGTCGACATGGACACCACTCTGACATCCTTTTCACACACCAATTAGATAATCTGAACCATCCCATCTTTTCTTAGATACCGACACCAGCCCTTGGCGTGGACCAACCCGAACAACACAGCTATCATCTCTAGAGTGCCTTCTCTTAGGGACTTTTAGTTCATTCTTCAATACATGATCGTCATCATTAAGATTGACCTTCCAATTTCTCCCTTAAGGGCAGTCCAAACAATTCTCCGAAACGGCTTAGTCGTACCTGGAGGGATGTGGAAAACTCGGAGATTACCTGTGCGTTAACTCGCTGGGCCAGCAGAATTTGGAGCCGGCGAGAGGTATTTATGTTCGGGCTGCTTCTTGCTCGAGTATTTTACTTGGCTGAATTTGAGACCTTCCTGCTTGCTTGACCCTATTCCGAAAATCTCTGCTTCGGAATTCAAAAAAGGGGCCCCAGACTGACGTCGAAGGTTGCAGTTGCAGTTGCGGGTAGACTAGTACAGACTTCTGAGTAATCAATCCTCCATCCCGACGAAGCGGGCCTTGGCAGCAGATCCCGCGATTCAGGGCTTTCCGGGCTCTATTTTAAGCTCAATTGAGCACAGACGGCAACTCTTCCACCTACATCATACATCATACGGTTTAACAAGAGGAGAGGGGAAGGATTTTTCAGAAGACGACAAAGAAAAGGAAAGACGAAAGAGGAGTAGGATACGCTCGGATCGAACTAATCAGTCCACTCACGCGAGCGAGTGCAAAAAAAATACGAGGTTGCTGTTGTACTCTACTTCTTCCATGCAGGGAGGGTGTTTCTCGAAATAGAATCAAGAGTGAATAAAGAAAGTTGAAGATCGATTAATTGACGTGCATATATCCAGGGCCGTTAGAGATGGAGTTGCTTTTGAAAGTGGCTTCATGGGCGTGGACAGGGGCATGGGCAATTGATCATGAGGCACATCTGATAGAGTTTGATAGCATAATTGCACGAATAACGTGAGAACTGACATGGATTTATAGGTTTATAAGCTTAAGTGGGATAATTATGTTTTCTGATAGTTACTCTACTTTATACTCTGGAGGTGAATGTTCGGTATTCTGACTAGTATCTTCCAGGAATACCTGTTACTCAACAATCCTGACAGAAAAGCCTAATGCCTGGTCTATAATCGTAGCCAAATGAGACTCTTGATAACGCACAAACAAAATCGCTTTGAACTCTGGGGCCTGGATACTCGGGTCTAAGTTATCAAGTTGTGTAAGACCACAACTGTCAGAACCTTGAACAGACAGACGAACATCCAATTCACAGCCTTATATTATGGGGAACATCCATACAATCTCCTAATATTACTGCGTCGTTACCCTGAACAAGATTATCAAATCCGTTGGTTACAGTCGCTCACCTACTGACGGCGGATCCTGTCTGATGGTTCTGTTTGCAGTAATTTGCCCTTGGCGTCCAAAACCTAACTCTTTTATTGGCCTCAAATCCCTGACCGCCATTAGACAGGATCCGCCTTCACCCTGTGAGTGACTGTAGATGCCAACGGCCAATCAGAGTACGCGCCTTCACCAAGCTAGCTATTGGTTCAGGGTTCCACACGAAACTTGTCACCCCAAAGTGCGTGACATTCCGTGACACCCTCCTCTACTTTATGGATAACTTCTTGGCAAAATCTCCTTCCCAGGATCCAAAATGCACGGAATAACCCGTCCACTTGCACGAGCTCAGAGCCAACGACCAGTGAGTGCTCCTTTGAGCACCCAATTGATCCCCGCAAAGATATCATTGCAGCAAAGTGTAGTTGTTTGATCGTTTCTACAAGAGAGGAGGGAGGAGAAGCAAGATGTGCGTCTAATACACATAGGTTGGATTGAGCGAGGACCAAGGTCGAGAATGTAAGGAGAATCCCATACCCTACCGATAACTCACCTCCAAGACAGTGAGGGGAAATCGATGCCGTGCTGGCAGTGATAGGACATGTCTCAGTGCCAGGAATTTGAGATGTGTGATGTGGCTCGATGGTGACTTGACTGTCGGCCTGGGTTGGGGTTGGGTACTACGCGTACATGGGCGTTGGTGGTGGCAAATATTGCATGAAAAAGAGATCTTGAGATCTTTTTTCTTCTCATTCCTTCCCTAATCTACTAACGAATCAAAAGACAGGGGAAGACAAGGCAAGATTTCCGAGAGTAATCAATAAATAAAAAAAGACCTACAACTCGGCAGCAACTCGTAGCAGAAAGAAAATTCATGAAGCATCACCAAAGCTACCTAGGTACAAAGGAAAGGCAAGATCTCCCTGGGCCAAAGCGCACTCAAAGAGAAAAAAAAGGAACGCTCCAGAATGAACGGCCAAAAATAAAATAGCAATAAGCAACCCGCTAAACCGAGGAAAGAGGAAAAGGAACAACAAATCCATTTCAAATGCCAGATCCCTACCCTGGCCTTGCTCCCATCCATGTAAAAAAAAATCCCGACCCACCCGCTGTTCCAACCTAACCAAACCCAGAAATGAACGCCGGAAAGTAAAATGTGCCCTCCCAAAATATATACTGGTCGAAGTGAATGAAGTTAAACAGGAAAATAAAAAAAGTAATAAAAAAAAGGTGTAAGCATCGTATAGCTTTATGTAGAGTCGCCAGTTCGGGGGCGGACGGGGGAGGGAGGAGGATAAGGTGGTAGTGGTAGTGGTAGTGATAACGAAGTGTGGGTGGCGGTATGTAGACGGTGTCCAGCGAATGTCGGTATACGATCCATAAAACGAGCGAAATAAAACGAAAAAAAAAGACCTCTCCGAGTTTCTCAAGTCTGGCACTTCTCCATAGACAAATGGTCTGCAAACGGATCGTAGTTCATCTGGTTCTGTAGCTGCTTCTCGTAGTAGATCCTAATACCACACAAGTCAATCCCCCACTCTCTCCAAAAAATCAAGAACCGGAGGAGATTCACATACCTTCCACAGAGCAAGAAATCATCGATATTCGCAACCCTCCTCGCCTCCTCCCGCTCGCGGATCTCCATCTTGGCCGCCTTCTTCTCCTTCCGTGCCTTGACGGGCGACACAATCGCCTTGACGGCGGCCTTGACGCGGACGGACTTTGACGGCTTGAGGCCGCCGGCCTTGCGCTGCTGCTGCGTCGTGGTGGGGTGGTTGTTGGTGCCGAGGGGGAGAAGTGAAGCTGTGGAGGGCTCGCGAGAGTAGTGGGTGGGTAGCTGTTTGTAGGTTGTGGTCGTCATTGTGTATTGAGTAGTGGGGGGGTTTTGGGTTTGAGTATTGTGGAGGTGGAGTACTGAGGAGTATGAGTATTGATGTAGACCGATCCGATATTGTAAGATGTTGTAGCGACCAAGTTACTGTAGGTGTAGGTATTCTGTTCTGAATTCTCTGGCGCAGTGTAGCGTGGTAAATAGAAATAGGATAAGAGACGTAAGTGGGGGCGTGCGATCGAGGTGCGGGAATCCCATTGCCTTTAAAGTCTGCTTCTTCTCCCATGCCATGCCATGGCCATACCCACCCACCATGATGGCATGGCACCCAACTAACTCTAGCCCTGATCACAGCAGGGAACAGAAACCCCATCCATCCATCCACCTACGTAGACAGCGCTGGGGCCAGTCCGGCGGTAGGTGAGGTAGATGTCGGTCGGTCGGTTGCAACGGCTTGAACCAATCCGTGCCCCTACCAACCACAGGGCTGTGTGCGAGCGAACGTGGGTGGTGTTAGACACTGTTAGTTAATCCGGATCGGATATGTATCTAGCTAGAGTAGCTAGCTAGGGGGCCCGGGATGGAGTCTGCGCAAGGGCACGCGTTGAGATGGGACTGGAGGCGTGGTGGTGTGCCATTGGGAGGACGTTTTGTGCACTTGGTTATCGCGAGTTAGATGGGCCGCAGCTGCAGAATGATAGAGTAGAATGGAGGTAGTAGAGTGTAGGTATGTATGTAGGAGGGTGAGTATGTCGGGAGAGACTACAGATCTACTCTAGCTGCTACTCTATTGGTGCGGCGCATGACGATACGGCGTCGGCGCGGCGGCGGGCCCGGTTACGTTACGTTAATTGCAAGTTTTTGGTTTTGGCCCGTAGGGTAGAGTATCATCGTGCATCTGATGGATGGGGCTTATGAATGTGCAGAACGTAGAGTAGAGTAGAATGTAGTAATAGTAGAGTGCGTGTGTCAATAATTCGACTCTGCCTGCTCTGCCCAATGAGATGTCTAAGCTGCAGATCATGTCAGGAGGTGGTGAAGTAAAAAAGTAGGTACTATAGGTGGGCGCAGCTACTCTAGCAGCACAGCACTTCTGCGCGCGGCAAAGACTGGATTTGGGATTTGTAGTTTTCGGTAACCCTCCCGGCCCGAAATCTTTTTTTTTTTTGTTTTGCACCTACGTTGAGGTCGCGTGAGTTTGTGTCGTGCGATCGGGGACGGTGAGGGGGGCGCTTTAATTGCATGAAACGCTGTTTTACGGTGTTTTACGGTGTTGGAGTGCTGCAAGCATTTCTATCTACATACTCTACATGGAAATACCTAGCAAGAAGCTGTCATCACGATACCTACGTAATACCTATCCCTCGCTCCTCGCCCCGACGTCTCGGACAGCTGTCGCATCCGTCTGTCTGGGTAGCATGTTCGTTGTCATCCTCCCTCTCCCCGTCCTGGCTAGAGTGCATTCCTCAGAGCCACCTCTAATAATTGTTCCCCATCCGGTTAGCCCCCCGTGCGCTTGGCAGCTAGCTAGCTAGCTGGTATTGTACAGCAAACACCGGAAACAACTAGGTAGAGTACTCTGCTCACCGGTCCCCACAGAACAAAGACTGTTGTCGGATGTCTCAAGTATGTAGGTAGGCCGGTTAGTTGGATGGGATGGATGCACGTGGGGAAAAATAAAATAGAGCACTCTGGAGGATCGACATGTGTGTACTAGTACTACATGTAGGCAGCAGTAGTACTAGTAGGCTTGTTGCATATAGGTAGAATGCGGATCATATGGAAAATGGGTTTTAGATCTCTAATCTAGTGGCTACACTACATACCTGGTGATGATGAGTCGAAGCACCTGGTGGGGTACTGTAGTGGATGTTTGTTAAGGCCCCCATAATACTATATATCTGTAGAAAGCCGCTCGCGCGAGAGAGATTTGAATTCTCTATGATGCAGACAGATATCGATCCGCATACCTTCCTCATACGCGCCATCGAGTCATCATCCTAATGGATGGTAGGGCGGTCTGTTTGTTCTTTCAGAAGCCTCCTTGCTACAGCTGGCTGGCCGGTCCGACGTACAAAGAGCTGGGCAGGACCAAGTATTGATTTCAGGCATTCATAACGATTACATTAAACCGTTCTTTAAGAACTCAACAATGCAGCGAATAAAGGCCCGAAACTCCATTCACTCCCCGTCGCCCCACCACCCCACGAATCTGCACTATTTGTGCATCCATAAGTACTACAAGATTTCGGCCGAGGTTTCGTTTTTTTTTCCCACCAGATAAGCTTTCCGAAGAAGGACACGGGGACATACTCGAGCCTAAGCGCACCTACCCGTTATTCCCCCGTCTATCCCCTCTACCCCTCTCCTCCTCGAGTTTGTGCCCCTCTCGCTTCCCGGTTACTAACAGATCACCCTCCTCCCGTCCCGTGTTTCTTGTTTTTCTTTGTTCAGTCCGAGTACCTTACCCTTGTTGTGTCGTATCATGCTAGCATGTAGCAGGTTAACTTGTCTAAATCACTCGGTCATCGTGCAGTACAAGTGAACACCTTGGTATCTTGAAAAACGTTTTCTCCAGCGGTGCTAATGGCGGTGTTTGGAGTTCGTGATTGTCTATATAGATGGTACTTGTAGTTTTCCCAGTTTGCGATTTTCTGGCTATAACGATAGCTAGATTGTCGCTATATAGAATCTATCTATTTACCGGTCAGTCGCTATATCAACACCAGTAATCGCCTGTTATTCAGCAACTTATAACCTCGAGTCATTAATGGAGGACCCCCAGCCCAAACCTCCGCCCGCATCATCACCGCTCCCGAATACTCCCGCTCACCCCGCCTCTCCTCCCACGTCACCCCCAACCACACCCATCCACCATGAAGACATCGAGTCCCAGTTTCCCTCACCGCCCCATGAGGAGCTCGCCCACCAGACTGCCCAAATTCTCTGCACTCTCTCCACTGCCCCTCGCGTGCACCCTAACCACAGTTCCAACTCGAGCGCTCTAGAAGAGGACGCAATGGCATTCCTCAGCTCCGCGCTCCAATACACCGTCCACCCCGTCACTCCCTTGCCCTCGCCCTCGCAAGCCATCTACCCACCTACTGGGGGGAAGCTGATGCAGTACGAGGCCGCAGACCCGAAAAAGATGTATCCGGACATCAGCGTCAGCGAAGAGGAGTGGACAGCGCTGGTGAGCACAGAGTATGTGCCGAGTCCTATCGTGGAGGAGTTTTTGCGCGGGGTGATGCCGATCGATGGGACGGTCGAGGATCGGCAGGGGTGGTATGAGTTTCTGTGTGATGACGGGGGAAGCGGCGGGGAGGAGTGGTCGAGATTTTTGAGTGGGGGTGTTGATGTGGACGGTGCCGGTGGGGAGGTGTGGTAGGGATGGTGGGGCAGTAGGAGTGATAAAGGTGGGTATTGTAGAGGGAATTGGTCTGCGGTGGGTTATTGGGAAAAGCCTTGGTGTTCTTTTTATAAGGCTTGTCCGTGGGTTCTAGCTAGAGATATATTATTATTATTGTTCCGTTAGCGAGAATAAATCATATCCTTTGGGAATAGTTACGTGTAGCTTGAATTCAATCACAACGTGATATCATGCCAAACCAATGTTGAATTCAGTAAAGCATCCGACCTAAGATCGTAGGACAGCTTAACCGGGTTTGGACCCCTACTATCTCCGGAGAGAGAATCGAAGCACTCTTCCCTATATTCTGCGTATTAAAGAAGTCCGAGTGACCATCCATGATGCCGCTATCAACCGATTCCACACACCCAGTCCTGCGACGAGTAGGTATAGTCGACAACCTTTCCGATTTATAGTAGAATTTTATATATTGTACTGATGGCTATTCCCTAGACTGTCTACCAACAGCCGCGACGCCTTGGAGGATGGTGCCGCCCGTTGAGGCCATATTTAGAGTTCGGGAACTACTAGCCAGCTTAGCCATCCGACTCGTCCGAGTGAAGGATAGGACTCTCCGGGTGTGCTGGTTGTTTGTTCGTGTGGCTACGGAAGGAGGCAGCCACTCTTAAGCGCGCGGGTGACGGCTTGGGCTAAACTGCCAGCGCCCGGCCGCGCATATCCTTCCATTGTATACAAGAATACTTCACTATCGGAATGAGACATTATATACAGCAAGAAGGAAATTACTATATATAATTTATTGCAATTAATACTTCTCGATCTCTTACTTTACCTATCTACATCCCCTGTATGCAGCAAAAAAATCAAAAAATATTTCTTAGAAGAAATTCAACAGCGCCGGGGGGGATCGAACCCCATCTCTTCCGGCAATTGTTCCTACGGCTACCCGATGGAAGCGCATTATCCCCTATGCTACCGGCCTGTTGCTCGTACAGTAGCTGCCAGAGCAGATTGTAAAGATCTCTCTCCCGTCATTGATTGCAGATAAGATCTAGAGAGATAAAGAGATTTTATGAGCCAAGGTTACTCCGTCTCATGCTATGAGATTAATGCCTGCTGTATTCCATTCAATGGTGAGGTCGCCATTCAGGTGCAGGGTTAGATTTTAACGAAACTTTTTCGGTACATATTCTTTTATAGTATAGTAGATATGGCACCTATATATGGGCAACCCGCACCACTTCAGTACGAGCGAACCCATCTTAGACGTCATGATGGCCCCAGAGCTCCGCCCTGTAATTCAAGCGCGCCCCGGTTAAATTGGAGGGAGTCCCTGGGTCTTGTGATACGTTCCAGCCGCATATCATAATATTGGGGAAGATTCTGCGCTGGGATTGACTGGGCTTTGCGGTAGCTGCTTCAGTTGATGATTGATCAAAGTTAAGATATAAGTCTATGTTAGTCCGAATTTTCTTCATGGGATATCACTCGGAGGCACACACCATAGTATCTCTTAGTCTGACGATGCTGCCGCCCTATAATAGAAGAATTTCACTTGTATGGAGATCTGTTATTTGATAATAGATGATAGAATCTGTTAGTAAATCCACACAAAATCTGTTTCTTTTTTTTTCTCTCTCCAGATATGGGAGGGGGAGGGGACAGGATTTTTTGCACCGGCGAAGGGATAGTACTATGTAGCCACTCACTTTATTCTTGGCAGCTAGGCACCTCGTGAAGAGCTCATCGATAGTAGTATGTGCTCAGTACCATGAATAAAATAGTGACCTCACCGCTGCACGGTTACAGAGAGAATAAAGGTCTATCCTCGAATATTAAAAGGGAGGAAGGTAGGGATAGGGAATATATATATGCGACTTGCACTAGGACTCGTGTCTTCATAACCTCCCGTGTGCGTGTCCTCTGGTGATGGTGCCCTTTAGTAGTTGTGTCCTTTGGTGGTTGTGTCCTTGTACTCAGTGAAGTGTGGCTCCACATTCCAGTAATAGGAAGTGGGTTTGAGGTCTCTTGGCAGTACCGCGGGATGTTCGCGCCGGGGTGGGCTGTTGTCTAGCTCCGCTCGACGTGTACTTATGCTAAGGGATGGGTAGAGACCAGTGGTGTCGAGAGTAAGTCACGAGACCATTGGCAAAACAAAACAAGACATGCGGACAACACAAGAAGAGACAGGCCCAAGTCCCTGAATATACTCAAATCAAATTGAATTGTCAGGGCTCCGGTTCTCTCTTTAGTTTCACATCTCAAGAACGCTACTAAAGGAAAATAAAAGGTTTTGAAGTAAGGCTCTACCCGGGATTCGAACCCGGCAACTCGCTGTCGTACTAAGTTTCTGTTCGAGTACACATTCCACTGTGCCGATAGAGCTTGAAGAATTATAGGCTGGAGGAGATGGTAAAGATGGATTTGCATTAATTCATATTACTTCAGCCCTACTTGGCTCGCGTGAAGAAATAAGCTTATACATCCATGTACCAGAAAAAAAGGCGGACCACAAGAAATATCAACAATAAAGAATGACAACTATAATACATGAATGCATGTTGGAAACAGAGACCACTATTACAGAACATCGACGAATACCGGGCAGCCGAAATCGAATCAGAAATCACTCCTGCTACCGTAAATCCGGGCAGGCCTTAAGTGTGCAGGCTCACTTAATAAGCTCATCTCACGTTCCCGGGTTGTAGCTCCGATCTTTCTTTTTCAACCAAGCACCGCACGTTTCCTTGTCTCCGAATAGCCTATATCTCAGCTTCCTATGCTTCTTGCTCCCTACGCTATTTGGCATGCCTGTTCAGATTCTCATATCACATTGAAGAGTGCAGAGATGAACACAAGTGAGGATGACTATGTGCGAGTGCTTGAGGATTGTATTGGTTTAACAGAAGTCTAGGAGGAATCGGACTGCTTAAATAGCTTGAGCTAGGTTGTGACACGGTGGTCTGATTCCACGGGACGACATTGTGGCTTGATGTGTCCGATAGACAGGAGTCGGGACACGTACACGTTGTGACACCGTGGTCTATATACATGTAGTTCTACATTGTGGCTGTGTGTCCGACACAAATCAGGACATGTTGTCTCTAGCCCTTAGTTTGTCAGAATCGGGTCGGTGCTGCTACTTGTTAATTACTGCCCGGACAGTGACGAATCTCACAGTTAGCTTTGTGTCAGTCACAAGCGGTATACGTATGCCCCACGAGGTGCTTTGGGGGGGCGCGAGTTACATAAAGTTACTCTCGGGCTTGTTCGAGGTTTTGACAATACTTATGAAAATGGATATGTGGTTCTTAGTTCATGCAATAGGTGAGTAAAATTGAAGATCAACTTCTGCTTTTGATGTGCTTTAATCCTTCGGAATAATCAATCTCACAGAGATTACTGCCACAATAAATTCAACCTCTATAAAAAATTCCCCTTAAAATATTTACAAACCCCTACTCCTCCCCCTCCCCCTCCCCCTCCCCCTCCTCCTCCGCATTCTTTATAACCACTTCCAACACCTCCTCCACAAGCCCCCACCCCTCCGCACAAACCCTCCAATTCCCCACCGCACACCTCACCGCCTCCCCCCCCTCCCACATAGTGCCACTAACATACATCCTCCCATCGCTATTAATCCTCTCCTTCAACCGCTTATTAACCCTCTCCTCCCTCGCCCGAAACAGCACCACGACAAACACCCTCCCCACCGCCTCCTCCTCGCCCCCAGCACCCGCAGGAAGCAGCTCATACGCAGGATGGCGGTATATGAAACGTGCGATTCCACGGGCGTGGGTGACCAGGCGTGTGACGAGAATTTTGTAGCCAGTGCTGCCGTAGGCGTGGAGCGTAGCATAGACGGGGAGGGCGCGGAAGCGGCGGGAGTTCTCGAGACCGATGTTAAGTGGGGAGGGGATTGCGGCGGGGGTGCTGGTGGGTGGGCTGGAGAGGTATGGAGCGGCGTTGAGGAATGTGCTGGTGAGGAGGGCGGGGTCGCGGGTGAAGAAGAAGCCGCAGTCGTAGGGCTGGGTGTGTTAGTAGTGTAGATATTTGTTAGAGTGGGTACGGAGTACTTACTACGTTGAGGAGTTTGTGCCCGTCGCCGGTGATGCTGTCGGCGAGTTCTAGCCCGTCGGCCCAACTCCCGACGTCTCCCATGGCGCCCTCCGCGCCGGCGAGGACCCGCGCAAAGATACCAAAGGCCGCATCAATATGGAGCCACGCCCCGTACTTTGTCACCAGCGCCCTGACCTCCCGAATGTTCGTTATGAACATCCCCGTATTCACCTCTCCGAATCCCACCACTACAATACTCACCACCCCCCTCTGGCTCCCCGCCTCCAGCCTCCGCTCCAGCTCCTCCAGACCAAACTCCCACGGCGCATCGGGGCGGGACAGGTCATGTATATTCCTCCTTCCAATCCCGACCGTCGACGCCGCCTTCGCAACCGACGAGTGCGCCGCCGCAGAGAGGATCTGGATCCCCATGATGCCCGCCTCCACGCACGCCCCCAACACCCCCATCTCACCGACCGATGCCTCGACGGGACTGTACCCCGCGAGTATCAGCTTCTCCCGCAAGAGGTGCTCGCGCGCGCATGCCAGCCCAAGGATGTTACTCGCCGTTGCGCCGGTCGTGAGCGTGCGGCCGCGCCACTCCGTCGTATCGAGGCGGAACAGCTGCAGCAGCATAGAGAGCGCAGCGCTCTCGAGGTCGGTGGAGACGCTCTCGTGGGGCAGGTGGACCTGCACGTTCTGGTCTGCGAGGGTTACGAGGATGTCGGCGGCGAGGGCCGCGGGGGTGGTGCCGCCAGTGACGAAGCCGTAGTAGTGCGGGGAGGTGGACTGCGCAGGGAGGCCCGGGAGGACGTCGGTGAGGAGGTGGGTGAGAGTTTTTTTGGCGCCGAGGCCGGTGGCGGGGAGGGTGGTGATGGAGGCTTTGGCGGCGGAGAGGGTGGGGGCAGTGGGCATGGCGGGAGGTGGGGTGGAGGGGATGGTGAGGGTTGAGGAGATGTGGGCATGGAGGAGGGCGAGGATTTCGGACTGGTCCGGGACGGGGACGGACATGGGGTTTGCGGGGTTGGACATTGTGGGATATAGGTACTAGAATTTGACTCGTATTAATACAGGCACGTACTATCTTAGGAATTGGAGCAAGGTGATATCTAGATATATTATACTCACCTCAATTGACAATAATAATTGCTGTATCGTATCTGAGATCTAGATCTATATATCCCCAGCTATACATATAGGCACTCCTATGACTCCTCCATCTCGCCCCCTGAATAGCTCTGCATGTAGTCAGTCACACGTATGCGGGTGCTTCTTGGACGTCGGAATAGAGACCCTGTCAGTGGCTGTCCCCGTTACCTGTCACCTTCCCATAGTTATATTCCCTGCATGATCGATGCTGCAGCTATCGTGGACTAACCGGAAAAAATAATGTTCCGTCACAGCCGGAAGTCAGCGTCATACAATTATTATTATTGGACGAACTCAATGTTTATTTCTGGTAATGGTCGCTTCGCTATTAATTATATTGAGCACCGTCACGTAGGTGGTAACCTTTTGCTCCACCATGCTGCAGCTGTGGTAGATCAGCGATAAAGCCTGTAATGTTGTCAGCAGCAGCCAAAACCTAGATCAAACTTACTGCCCTCTTTAATTGCAGAATCTGATCGTTTCTAGTTTCGATTGTTCTACCCGATACCTGCTCTTGTACGAACTAAGAACCACATATCCGTTTTCATAAGTGTTGTCAAGACTTCGTGGTGTCCGAGGCAGACCCTTGCGTTATAAGGTAGAAGTAACTTTATGCGACGTCCTCATCTCAAACTACCTCGTTGGTGTACAATGGTTGTGCTGTTGATATAAAGTTGGATCTAGAGACGGAGTAACGCTGCAAGATCAGTCTTAGAGGCAAGGTTGCTGTAATCCAAAAGATCCAAGTGGCTTCTGCAAGGACTAGAAACGTCATGCCGACTATCGGACACATGTTAAGCCACACTGTCATAACATAGAGCCAAACCACGGTGTCACAATTGCCTGACCAGACTTATTTAACCCGCCATCCTCCCCGCGACTTCTGATAATACCATGGCCATCCTCGCCTGTGTTCATCACTGCAGTCTCGGGTGTGACCCATATCCAAGGGAACACAACGGCCCACAGCGTGTCGCGAGGAAAGGAAACGGAGGAGAAAGGAAGGATCAAAAGCAACCCGGGTATCTCCAATCTTCTAAACCCGATATTCCCCTTTTTTCGCAACCCTGCCCGGGTTCGCTGGAGTGATTTCCGATCAAATGTCCGGTTTTCCTCGTCAATGTTCCATCCTAGCTATCTCTGTTTCCAACATTCATAGACTGCATGTACTCAATTTCTTTATTATATTGCGAGTGATGTGTATATAGAAAAGTATATCAAGAGCACCACCCCCTACAATTCAAGCACTCTAGTAAAAAGACCCCTTGAAATTTAAGATTACCGACAGACAAAGGACAAATAGCGGTATCTTTTATTCAAGGCTACGAGGCATCATATAGCATTTCCAAAGTGAATACGTATACCACTAGCTACAAACATTCCAACTTCCACGTAATACGTCCAGCTCACCGACTCAACACCCAAACATCCAGCCAGTTGGCCAGCAATCCAGCCAACCAATCACCCCACAGTACCCACATCTATATCCACCTCCAGCCCCATGCCTCCCCCCGCCCCCCATCTCCCCTTCAAGGTCCACGAAACCGTCAAACTACTCCTCACAGAGCCCGAACTCAGCATCTACAAACGCCGACACATCATCTGCAAAATCGACGAAATCAACCCCTCGCACACCCGTGTCCAACTCATCAGCGGATGGGGGGTCATCGACGAGTGGTTCCCCCTTGACAGGGTGGTGGCTGCGGAGGATATGTTCTTCAATCCGGTGAAGGGCGCAGCGTACATCAAACTAGACCTGAGGAGGGCATTGATGCAGGATCGAAGTTATGGGTTTCGGAATGTACGTACATGTTTGCTCTTTTTAACCTTTTTTGGGGGGGTGTCGGTTAACTGATGGATGTGGATGTAGGGATCACACTCGTATGTCTGCTCGACGAAATGCCGGTCGAGGTATTGTCCGTGCTTTCGGGCGGGACTGGATTGTGATGATACATGTCACATCTATCATCCTAATGGGACCAGTGAGACATGTACCAACTATGAAGATGATGCTGTCGATCCTGCTGTAAGTTGACACGCGCGGCACTTCACTTACATGGTTTGATATGGGGGCTTTGCTGATGTTGGGAAATTGAAGGCCTAGGGATATTAAGATTTTTAGTTGGAGTGGTTTACGAACTCCTGGTTAATTGGCTTCTGATATGGGGGAATTACTTAGCTAAAGTTTTGCATGCTTGTTTTATATATAGCTATATACACACTGAAGCTGTTGCTAACAACGCCTTGAGCTGTAGATAGTGCTATACTTTGCTATAACGATACTCTGTAAGACTTGAGGGTACATAATAGAATTGCTTTGCCTTCCTCTCATGCTGTTAATTTCAAGTATGTGCTGGTGTGCGGGGAGTGGTACAGGGCGAGTACGGGCGCGGGCAGTCGTACGTCGGTGTCCGGCTGTGCACGTACGCTTAGATATATATCCGCATGGCCCGCATTCTGGCATGCCGAGCGTTGGCTGATCAGTAGCCAAGCTGCCCGAGGGCGGGGCACCCGCAAGGCCCGGCTTATAGATAACAGGCCGGCGTTGTTTAGTGGACCGCGCCCTTCGCACCTCGACAGACGTGGTGACCTAGCTAGCTGGGTAGATAGAAGAAATAACTCGGGTGTAACTAGATAATGTCCGACCAGGTCGGCTTCATGGAGTTTTATCGCTATTGCACACGGGCAGTTGTAGGCGGGCCGGGGAGTGCCGGATTTTCTGGCTCCAGATATCATTTCCAGCAACACACTCACCACCAAAGAAAGTCACCCAGTAACCTACACCCTCCAACCGAAATAGAATACACCTGCTTGTACCACCTAGTCCGTTACTCCACCTCCATCAACTGAACTATCCATCCATCCGTCAACCCACCTCACCGCCTGGCGAGTCGAACCAGCAGTCACAGACTATCACTCGGTAACATCACCGGTGTCGACCAGCGTTCTGCGTCCCAAAAGGCGACGAAACTCGCCTCAATAAAGCTCTGGGCAGACCAGGGGGATCTATACCACACGTGGGGTGTGGGAAATCTCCTGCAGAGACGTATATAACCACATAGATGAGTTTCGACCGAGTGTAGAGAGGGAACCGCGGCAGTATGGGTCCAGCTAGCGTGATCAATACAACCCCTTTTGGACCGACGTCGGGTGAAGCTGGAGTATGAAGGTCGGTGAGCTTCATTGCTAGATCTCTTCACACGGCATATACAGCATACATAGGACGTACGGACCTAAGAAGTATGTGATGAAAGTTGGGACGACGTCATTCAGCACGTTGTATTTCAGTCAGGAGAAGATATGAAAACGGATATATGGAGACAGAATTAAGCCGATCAATGTTGATGACTTGATCATGCGCTCAGGGAACTAGCCCCCTCTCCGCCGACGCCTCCTACTTGCTCGCTCCCGGCTAAGCCTATGGCCAGCACTTCAATCGTTTACGTATATGTATACAGGTTGATCCTACTAGCAACGTCGTATAGAATATTTGTAAGGAATATCAGAACCAACCAACAAAACTCCCACCCCCAACTCACTACTAGCTAGCCCTTAGTCTTTGCATAACCCATATCCCAAATCCACACAACGTTGCTGAAACTTCCTAGCTGCCCCACTGGACATTTCAATATATACGTGATTACAAACCAGACAACTCAAATACAAGCACTATTCTAATCATCTACGCTCGAACAGACTCTACGAATCCCCCAAGCACGCTTATCTCTAATACGAGTAACCGACGTCGCCAGGAACTAACAAGTAGCGCGAGCGAGTGATATCCTATGAAGATGATATAGTTAATTATATAAACGGGCATCGTAGATGAGGTGTTCTAAGTTATAAGAGTAGGGTAATAGGGACTATCTACTATACTATAAAAGAATATTGTCAGAAAATGTTTCGCTAAATCAGCCCAATCCTACATAGATCCGGCCCTGAACATTGGGAGAGAGAGGGAGACCCAAATTATGAGTGAGCTGCTAAGATACATGTAATCAAGCTGGCAATAAATTTTTAAAAGATGAAATTTACAACAAGTGATTCTGTGGTCATATTCCCTCCACGGGGGTATGGGCCCAACTAGCAGCTCCATTTCCCACTACCGGTATACATCCCACTAGAGCAAGTACATGTATGTATTGTATGTGACGCGGCGGGCCGTGCTCTACATAAGCCGGGGGTAGCAGCACTATCAAACTTAGTGTCAGTTGAGATTGTGTACCTGCAGCTGAGCACACATAGATCGACACCGCGCGCACCTCACCTGCACCTCTCAAACACAAGGCCTAGGTCCATCACCATTCGAAAAAAAGCCTTGCCATGCGATGCGGGGGGGGGGGGGGGGGGTAGGAAACATGATATATTTCCAATGAATTTTTTGAAACTCTAGTATTACACTACGCATATGTATAAGATTAACAATCACAAAGAAGGAAAGAAAAAAAAAAGTTGCAGGTTTTTTTCTTCAAAAAAAAGATATAAAAATAAAAAGAGAAAACGCCGCGCCGCAACCGCAAAGTGTCCCCCCTTTCCCCCCCTTTCCCCGCTGGAAAAATCGTTTCCATACATAAACCCATGATAAAACAAGAAACAGGACCACGCCCAATGACGAATAGTTGTAAAAAAAAGCCGCACCAGGGAAAAGAAAAAAGCATCCACTGACAGATAGACGGTGAGGGACCAGGCAAGCTGGTTTGGCCGGTCTGATAGTCTGTCCATTTTTTTTCTTTTTCTTTTCCATAGGCTTCTCCTCCAAAGAATCAGAATATCTCCCTCCATCTCTCTCCCCTCCTTTTTTTTCACCTCCTATATATATATATAAAAATAAACGCCAAAGTCGTCACTCACTGGTTTTTTTTGTAGTGTGGGGTTGTTTGGATTAAACGCGGTTGTACATTCCGTTTCCGTACATCTTGCTATGTCTCTGTGACATGGTGTTCTCGATAGGCGAGGTTGACTTTCTCTTCTTTGACCTGCAGCACATGCAGAGACCCAGAATGATGAATCCGCAGAGAACGATACCACCCGCACCGATACCGGCAATAAACAAGATGTTTGGGGGAGAGCCCTGTGACTCTGTAGCCTCAGTATCAGCCGATGTGCTAGTAGCCTTTGCAGCAGCAGTGGTCTTTGTCGCGAAAGTGGTCGCTACGGCCGACGCTTCTGTCTCAACGGGTTGCTCCTGGATGACGGTTGGTGTAGCAGTTGCCTCCACGGTAGTACTCTGTGCGATTGCGGTGGTCTTCTGCGCAGCAGATGTGCTCGCAGCAGCAGAGGTGGAGGTGGCCTTTTTTGAAGTTGACTCGACCGCTGAAGAGGCTGAAGAGTCGGAGGTCCCAGAAGCACCGCCGTATGTAGAACCGGGGACGGAAATGTCGAATGGGGGACTATACTCGTAGGTGCCAGTTGCATCGTCGAGGATTTTAAAACCGTATTTGTCGCCTTCGGGCATGGTACCGCTGTCTTGGAGACTTTGGGGGATGTTCCATGTGTATGATCCGGAGTTTTCGATGTAGGCTATGGATAGTTGGTGTAAGGTTAGAAATACGTTCCTATTCATGGACTGATGTGGTAATAGTAGGGAGTAAATAGATAACATACTTGCAACTATGTCGATATCGAGGATATTTGTTGTTGGTCCCTTCAAGAGCTTGATAGTGACGGTTCCCGTTGTAGTAGGCTAATAATAATAATGGACCACAGTCAGATCCATAACCCCAAGCAAAATTGTAGCAGTGACGTCCGCCAGGAAGGTATTGAAGAAAGGACTATTATCATACAGTCCACTTCAACGTCAGGGGTTCTGAGGCGTCTATCGTGCCACCGAGCGGGTGCGTGAACGCATTCTGGCCTGTCTTTTGCTGAGCACAAACGACGGCTGCAAACGAAAGGGCAATTGAAACAAGTGTTGAAAACTGCATGTTTGTTTCTAGATAATTAATTTGTTTGTTGTTATTTTGTATATGTCTGTATGTATAGTATACTGATCTGCGTGTTTAAAAAAGAATGGACGCACAAAGGCGAGTAAAAAACAATAGCTGGGAAAAAAAAAAAGAGGGCGGAATCCAAAGGACGGCGGGCGTATCAAAGGAGTGAGATTTTGCCAACGGGGGATTGAAAGAGAAAAGAAAGAAAGATGGGATTGGGGGCAGTGGGGTTAGAGTTATATCTCAGTATCATAGTAACCTAGCTCCAAATCTCCCTATATAGCCTAGCCGCATGGCTAGGCAGGGAATGAGTCCCATGGTGCATAGCGACGGGTGGGTGGGTAACACCGCCCCCGTGCACGATGATGTTTAAACGCTGTAAACAATAGTGTGGCAAGGATCGGGTATGGTAAACCGTCATTATGCTTCAATCCTAACAATTAGTAGGCCTGTTGTCTGTCAAGCTTCAATCTTCCTCCTCTTGAAGATATTTATCACGGTCAGGGGGTGGGTTATAATTATTATATGCGCCACATTTGATACGTCTGCGTGTACGTACGTACATGTATGTACACAAGTAAGACCAGAAATTCGACTCCCGTTTGAAAAAAAAAGAGCAATTCGCCGTGATAGGTTTGGGGTTTGTTTCTTCCTTTCCCCAGTTTTCTCGGGGGTAAACTTCCCCCTCCCCTGGTCCCGACTCAATATCCAATCGCTCCTTCCTTAACCGACGACGAATCAAGCTTTGGAGAACTTCAACCGAGACATTTTACTCCAATTCGCCAAATGTCGAAAACCAACCCGTGGATCTGGATTTAGAGTTTTTTCTTCGAGCTTGAGGTTCGCATTACCAGCATGATGTGGGTAGGACAGCTCAGCTAGGAGAGAGCAAGGGTCCTGGGAGTAATAATCAATTCAAGATTCGAGATTTCCACGGCTGGAAGACCCGCGGGCCGCCCGTCCTTTGGTGGCACAACGAATAAGAAGTTATTCCTACTGGCCATTTATTCACAATGCCTTGCAAGATGTGCCTGAATTTCTCGAAAAGGGGGGGAAGGGGGGAGGTCTTCCACGAATGTTCGATAGTTGCTATAGCCAAGCCTTTAGTAACCCCAATCATGAGGTTACTAATTGGCGCCCTAGCCATTAATCCTCTGGGCTCAAACAGCGAAGAAAAAAAAAGGGAGATCTTTTTTTTCCCTTTGAACTTTGAACCAATCGGTCGCTAATTGTCTCATAGCAGCTCCCCCTATAGCATAGGTGCCATCCCCATACGGACGACAGCCTGGTGTTTAGATATCCACTTTCAGACGAAATAGTACTGTTTAGGGGTGGTGTTGCTAGGCTACGGCACGGGGCTGAGCCAAGCCGTTTTTAGTGGAGACCGTGGCTAGATGCCGGAAACCGCAAGCTCTGTGCACAAAAGATCACTCGAGGGACCAACCGCCGCCCCAATGACCAACGGGATTGTCCGTAACGTAGAGCAGAAACGAAACTGGTCCGCATTTCGCTGCTCTGGGGCAAGCAGGCAGGGGCAGTGCTGGAGTGATCCGGATTCTGGAAAGCTTCCTCTCCCTCTCCCCCACTGGTTCAAATTTTATAACTGTTCATGCCTTGGATGTTAATAAACCTTGTTGCGTGGGGTACTCTTCCTCTAGCATCGGGCCAAGTTTCTTGTCTATATGAGCTCCACCTTCAGCGACTAGCCGTCGCCATCGTCATCGAGGTTTCTCTTTTCCCCTACCAAGAGGTGAAAGTGCTGTTCTGGAGTAGATGAATTCCCATGCGCGGGTCGGAAGTTTCGTAGATTCACGTCGGAGCAAGAATGGATATGCAGGATAGTGGACAGAACATGACGGCGGCGCGGCGGTCTGATCAATTCAATTCTGTTTGGGCAAATTTCCACCTTGGAAGGGAGGAACACACTGACTGAACTTTGAACACACTGCAGGCATTTGGGAATCACTCTAGGGTACATAAGTGCACTTTGACGACCTGTCTTGGAACCACCCGAACACGGCTAGGCGCCCCGTCTGTGGGTGGCCTTTGCAAATCTCGCTTGTGTTTCTGTATTTTATTTTTTGTCCCGATGTGGTATGCAGACATACACAGATCATGTTTCATCTACACACCCTGCAGCTAGCTCTGCAACTACATAACCTCCAAGGCCGCCGGTGCGGCGACGGGGATGTACAGGGGCGGGTAGGCGGCCATGGGGCGGGTAGGCAGCAGCTTACCCCAACTCAAATTAATCGTTCTGCGTTTCGCACTCTTTCAATTTCCCTTTCCGCGCCAGATAAGCTAATTACAGTCATCACCATCAGCCAACCCACCGTTTCCACCAACATCAATTATATACACTAATCAGTTACTCACCAGCACCTGTATCCGCCCACACCTCATACTTGCTCACCTTGATCTCCCCGTCCTCCTCCACAAAGCCCAACGTATACGTAAACACCTCATTCCACGCTTCGCCCGTTGCCGTCCAAACGAATCTCGACCGTCCCCGCACACTCACCTTTTGCTCTCTTGTGTCGACTACGTAGTCGTCAAATTCCATGTTGCGGAACGACAGTTGGTCTGCCAGGATGCCGAAGTACTTGGCTACCTCATTGGCGCCCCGGAACTCGCGGCCGACGAACGGCGCGAGGCACGGCAGACCGTGCTCGTGCGCGATGGGCGGCGGGGTGGTGCTGAAGTGGGTGAGGAGCGTGGAGGGCGGCTGCTCGGTGGCGAAGGCGGTACAGAGGGAAGTGGCGGCGGTTTTGAGACTGTCGTAAGATGCCATTTTTTTGGATGTTTGTGCGGATTTGGGCTTGGGAGGTAGAAGTGCGGTGGGGTTTATATGCTGCGGGAGTGTTTCGGTGATGATGTCATTGCCGACTGCAGCGGTATCCGAAGCTCTTGGGATGGGAATGATCTTCGAAAGGCTGCAACCGGCGAAGCGTATTGAGAAGGCATATGATGATGTTTATTTGAAGAGAGGGTATTATGATATAGGTAATTTTTCTTATGAGGTGATGATTATCGCGGAACCAACCAGCTTCATTAACGTTACAAATAGGTATCGATACAAGCAAGAAGACATCAATCAACCCAAGGAGACTCCCAGTAACCAAAAAATTAATAATACAATCAAGGAAAAAAATCTAAAACCAATTGCAAATCATAAAGAATAGGCAAAAATTAGAAAGGAAAGACAAGCAAACAACTAATCAACCCGATCAAATTAAACCTATGAGATCTCAATCCTCCTTGACACCGGCGCCATCTTCGGCACCACAATCCTCAATACCCCATGCTCCAACGCCGCTGTCACCCCCTCCTGCTCAATACCCGCCGGAAACGTAAAGCTCCTCTGGAACGCGCCGACCGTCCTCTCACTCACCCACTGCCTTGTCTTGAACTCCTTCTCCTTCCGCTTCTCGCCACGCTTCTCTACCACCTCTTCACTCTTCTTCTTCACCTCGCGCTTCTGTTTGTCCTCCTCGTCGACATCGTCCTCGACCGTGGCTTTGAGGGATCGGACCGGCGAGGATGTTCGTGACCCGCCTTTGGGAGTCTCGCTCTTGGGCGTCTCGGAGGTGGTTATGGAGGACTCCTTAGAGATGTGGCCCTTTATGACGAGCGTTACGGGGTCGGTGAACTCGATACTGAGGTTTTGCTTCTCGAGGCCGGGAAGATCGCCTTCGAGCGTGTAGGAGCTGGTAGTCTCGTAGACGTCGAACTTCGGGGAGAAGGTGTGGCGCTGCGGCTCGAGGCTGTGGAAGAAGAGTGTGGGGAAGTCGGGGGTGGTGGTGTAGTGTGGCATTGTGGATGATAGTATGCTTAGGTTTTTGGTAGATATGATTTTGGTTTTAGGTATGGTTTTGAGAGGTTTGCGAGGCTTTGGAGCTTTAATAGCTAGCTAGGTAGGTGTGTAGTGCTAGTGAGATAGTAGATAGTGGTAGTAGACTTGTCTTGATTTTTTTCTGATGATGATACTCCTCGACACTGGGAAACATCGCAACATTTATAACCATCTTTGACTCGACACTTGGAAATATCTAGATGCCTCTTACCAACCCAGTATCTATTGCGAATCACCCTCGAAAGCTCGCGAAGTTGGTAAGAACCCTGTCGAAGCTTCTGGAAGTCCCTGGTAGCTACCGCGCTATGCCGTTTGTGGACATCAGTTGATTGTGCTGTGGATGAGTCAGCATCTCGGTGTGTCAAAATGTACTACGGCCACTGTCAACAGACTTACCCCAACATGCGTAGTAGTTTACTGAAATGTCAGCCACCAACCAAAGATGAGATTTACTTTTTTTATGGGCTTTCTAGGCATCTTGGTACTTGCGGTATTCAACTCCACTAAACTTGAAAACCTACAAAACAACAACCAATGTCTAAAACCAAGTGTACTATTAAAGTCATACTCATTTTATGCTCAAAAGTAATCGTCTCCTGCTTTAACTATCATGGTTATGGTGGTGGTTGGCGGGCCTAAGTAAATCGCGGGGTCGGTGGTTGCTATCGCGAGAGACAATACTTAACTTCACCGCAAGTACACCTAGATCAATATTTGGAGTTGTGCGTTTAGGGTTACTTAAACCATATTTAGGTGCAGGGGACCATATTCTTTTGGAACCATCCACTGGTGGACTGGACTTTCTATGAATGTATGGGGGCTATAGGCCATTCACGGAGGGCCCGGGTCCATTCGTGAACTCGTCAAATACTTGAATGGCCCCGAACAAATGGCAACGAAAACCCAAGCTAGAGCCCCGGGGGGAGCCCCCAAAAAAGAATCTCAAAAGAGTGTGCTCTTCCTCGAGATAGGCATGGGGGGTCCGCAAGGCGAGAATGCTCGAGGCAAACCTTCCTTCTCTTTGCGGTCAAATAGACTAGATATGGACTATAAATGTACAAGGCAGAGGCACCTCAAGGCACTTGTCTCTTCTCACCTCGAACAACCCATTAACCACACTAAGAAAAGTTGAATACAAAATCCGGGAAAGATAAGCGTGAAATAAACGGGGCTAGTAAGGTATGGTACGGAGGTATGATAGCTGAGATAGAGGTAGACGTATGTTTTCCACGCGCATCCGCAAGCCCTGATTGTCTACCATATCCTGAGTGTTTTTTCTGATTTGATTCAATACAGACCTGTTTAAGATTAGTCTAATGTTAAAATCAGGATTGGGTGTCTGTAATGGTAGACATACATCCCTTCTAGTTGCATTACAAGAGTGAGGGAACTTTTATGCCTTTCGATTTGTGAAATGTGCCGTGATATCTGTCTCTCCTGTAACGGCCATTTCATGCGTTGAAGCACACCTCTCAATCCGCTTTTAGGCTCCATCTTGCTTTGAAGCTCCTGCAACTCTGCAAAAAATTCCTGGAGTAGCCCGTCCTTCTCATCAAGTTTCCACAATACCTCTGAGTGTGGGTTCGATTTGATATAGGTTTGTAAGCATTGGAGGACTTGAGTAAGAGAACCAAGCTCTCGTGAAAGATTGATAAGGCCTCTTGAAGCTTTTCTCGCTCCATCGATATACCGATAGGCCAAGGATATGATTTTTTCTACAAGTTGAATCGTAACAATGATGCTTTCCGTAGTATCCATATTTTAGAGGTTTCTGTTCGTGTCTGATGTAGGAATCTCTGCTTGCAATATTCTTTGGGAACGTAGCTAGTATATATAAGGTATTGGGACATGTCGAGCCATCCGTTTTGTTTGGGGTCTATCCCCCCCCGGGCCCCACGCCCTGGCCCCGCTCGGGGGCGCGTGTGCACGTGCACATGTGCCTATCTGTACCCAACTTTCAGTCTCATCGGCTCTAAATCTTTGGTAATTCTGAATACTCGGGACTATGGACATTGTTAATAATCGAGCAGTGCTCGACTAACTTTGCAATTTGGGAGCTGTAGACGAAGGGATGCTTTTCGCATTATGATAATAATAAACACTTACGGGGGGACCTTTTTGGTGTTATCTAATTTACGGAAGGTGTGCCTGATGTGCTAGGAACCAGGGCCTTATGGGTGGGAGCGCTATGGCCGGTATGAGTACGAGCCGATTTCTAACACTTAAGTTTTACATGATTGTAGAAAGTAAAGAAGGCTCAAAGAGGTAGGATATCTATTTATATGCGTACGTATAGACTGATAGGTATATCAGTAGTATTAACTCCTGATACTACAACAAGTGCCTTTATAGTTTAACTCTTTAGTTCTGTTACGGTAGGCCCAATTCTTCTGGAAAAGGTACCGTACTGTTCTATTATGTAAAGGAAACCAGCCCCTTAATCCAACGATAGAAATAAAGTGTAGATGAGGACTCGAAGATATTTGCGCATGAGGTACGGTCCACTAGAATTAGCAGTTTTACATCATTCCATGCGCTACACAAACTTCTACCCTAGCATGGCCCAAGAACCACTGGAAACACTGATCCTCTAAATCTCATCTCACTCTCTAAATCTTACTAGCTCAAGCGATAGACTATGATCAGGAGGCACTCCGATTCGGCCTATGAACCCTACGGAACCTAAGTTTCGTTACCAGCAGAAGGGCAAAAATGTGAATTCTGGGGCTAGGAGCATGGGATGCATGGCACCATCCCCAGAAGCTCCTGTCCTGGTCGCTTGCAAGTACAGCTTCTGGTGAAAACAGGGATCAAGGGCCTGGTCTGGTAAGTGCTAGGTATTGCTCAAATCTTCACCGAGAACAGAGAATTCCTGCACACCTCAATTCCACAATAATTCTGTTGATACCGATCAATCATTCAAGGTTTACTTTGCATTCTAAGAGAGGTACTCCCAAAGCTGAGAGAAAAAAAACGTCTTACCACTTCCTGAGGCAGTGTAAGCGGCCGCGCCTACACAGTATATAGGAGGAACAGGTACATGCACCTACATCAACTTCTCTATCTAGCTCCCTGCACATGCGCTTATACAATACCCTTTCTCTCTCTCCTCTCTCCCCCTCCATGCAAGTGCAGATAAGCACTCCACCTCTTCCCCTCCGGGGCAAACTGCGCTACACGTCAAAACTAGCCTTCCTCGCGATCGGCGCCGCGGCGTGATACCAGCACAGAAAATATTAAAATCGACGCGATATCCACGTGCGAGCGCGTCCTCCCCCCTCTACCCCATGCACCACGCATCCTCCCCCTCCACCCCATGCACCACACATCTCTTGTAGCTATAGTGTGCCTCAGAAATTATATTCTCTGTTAGTCTAAAAAAATGGGATCACAAGCCATGACTCGGACATGTCAGAACCAGGTACCAGAAATCATCACTTCGAGCTAGAACACGAACCCTGCAGCTGGTCGACTTCACCCCATGGCCCAGGAACTGTTCGAATATGGGCCGGAGGTGTTAACACTAAATTAAATATCAAAGACCACCCTGCATGCATTATAAGGGGATCTTGGCCTAAATAGTATGAGGAATACTCGAAAAGGATAATTCTAAGGATTGGTATTCTGGGGCGGGTATTTGACGGCGTATATATTCCTAAAAAAAAAGTGATATATCCATGGGTGTCGATTTACGCAACAAGGCCTCACCAATTCGCTACCGCGCTCTCCAGCTTCCAATTGGTGGGGGGGGATGGTCGAAAAATTAATCCTGGGCCTTCACCAAGGTTCTTTGGGCTTTAGGAATGTCTGAAGATTATCGCTTGTGTGGTTATTCGGAATAAGGATTTGGCTGTGCGGAGTACGGTTTTAAAACTTTTACTAGATCGACACCCATATGATACACGTCCTGCAAGCAGTGCCAGGGTCTTCAGTTTAGTATTACAGCAAGTTTCATAATACTAGGCTCAGAAAGCGTTCTCAACTCATAGTACAATTCTCGAAGGATAGCCTATATAGGCTATATCTGGGCAGTTGAAATTACCTTTTCGGGAGAATATCGGGCTCGGGCTTCCTAAGTAGACTATTATTTAAAAAATCACACTATTTGTGTAAAAGTAATTTGAGCCTAGTATTACGGAACTTGCTGTAACGGGCTGTTGGCAAAAATTATACTTTGACAGGGTTGAGTACAGTCGCTCACCGCTGACGGCGGATCCTGTCTGATGGTTCTGTTTGCAGTAATTTGCCCTTGGCGTCCATACTTTTATTGGCCTCAAATCCCTGACCACCATCAGACAGGATCCGCCTTCACCCCGTGAGTGAGTGTAGTCAACACCAGTAGTTAGGGTCTGGTTCCAAGAGAGGGCCGGATGGATCGTGGTTTTGACAGTACAAACTTTTTGGGTAGGCACACCAGACCCACTCAACCACCACCACCACCAAGATATTACCAAATGGGTCTAGGGACAAGATTACATCGACCCTTCTCAATCGCGCCTTCTACTCGTAATTTCATAGCGTTTGTGAACACAACTGGGTTGCATACCCGCAAAATCCTGCATAAGGCTCCAGATTTTGGTGTATGCAGTCTAATGCAGACCCAGCTGTGTTCACAAACACTATGAAATTACGAGTAGTTGCAAAATCATTCGTGCAGCTCAGCCTTCCCCATCGGCTACACGAAAATAAACTATCACCGTACTCGGGGCAGGTAAAAAGTACCGGACAATGCAGGTTTTTGGTTCACCAATGGGCGCGCGTGCTAGGCGTGAACTACTGCAAAAAAATCCCAGAGACAAAACTTGCATTGTCCGGTACTTTTTACCTGCCCCGAGTATGTGTGTACCTACATGAGGCCTGCAGTTTACGCCTAAAACGGGTGTACGTTACACAAGAATATTTTTACAGCAAGGGTCGATATAATTGAACAACAAACAGAAGAATTAGAGAAGGCTGGGGCCGAGCCTTGACGTCCTATACCCAGCTTAAGATATGATATACATGGCCCGAGACTCGAGACGCTCAACGTACGTACTTGCATATGTCGACAGTCGACTAGCTCAAATTATCAGGGTATTACATACAAAAAGGGCTCTACTCTTTCCGATTGCGTGTCGACATAACTATGTACATGTACACAAAACATAAATGCGGGATGGTAGCCCGGATGGAGTTTGAGAATGGGGATATAGGCCGCACCAATGAATAGAATATTTAGACGTCAATGGAACGATTTGGACTGCATTATCCTCCAGGCTTTTTTTTTTTTTTTTTTTTTTTTTTTTTTGGGGGGGGGGCCTTTAGGCGGGCAGGCTAAGCATTCGCTTCACATCTAAGTTAAGACCACAATAACCACACGTTTAAAGTCTCTTAGTTCAACGTCTCGAGACCCGGAATGTTGGGTCATTCTCGAGAACAACAAATCCACAACTGCCGAGAGGATGCAACCATGGCAAGTCAACCCCACTAAATCCTGACAGCATTCTGTGTGAGGTCTGAGAAAGGGTATGAAGAGGAAAACAGAGATGAGAACGCTCTGCCTGCTCGCCTCCGCCTCTCCCTTCCTTAATCAGGTGTTTGGAAGACCCAGCCCGACCCCCAAACCACATCACCGTCCCCCCCCCCCCCCCCAATCTGAGCCCGGGAGGAAAGGTACGGTATCTTGGTGGTGGCCTACCGCTGTATTTGAGAAAACTCGTTGCGCTGCAGCAGGGGTATAAGCCACCAGAGGCAGTATTTGGACGTCAATATGCAAGATTTGGTAGAGAAGACCCCAGCTGCAGCGCAACGAGTTTTCTCAAATACAGCGGTAGTACCTCCAAGACTTGAAAAATTGGCTATCTCCGGGATCCAGGGATTATCTTCCGGGTGATTGGTTGAATGGCATCGATCTGTATCAGGCTTCTTGGTTGGTTGGTGTTCGTTAATTGATTTGTATCAGAAGTCTCTCATAGAAGTAGTTTTGATCTCACCGGAGCTGGTCAATTTTTCTCGAGTTTTGGTTGTACTCTAATATATGATGTAGTTGACGATACCGCACATCTTCAATGCAAACAGGAGGTTTAGTTGGAGGCATGGGATTCTCGAAACATTTATATAGCATAAATGTTTCAGGCAACTAGAAGAGGCAATGTACGGAAATGAGAAGAAGATAGAACCATTCAATCCAGTAACCTATCAAAACCTGCTGGCCCATTTTGCTACAAAGATAAGGCAATGCAAGAAAAAATGAACAAGGCAGCAGCCGTCAAAAGAGGCATCATGTAGCCTTAACCATCGCAGCGAACACCATGTGTCAATCTTGACATGACGTTTTGTGATAAAGAAGATGCACTCCTATCTCGCCCGGAACAGCTTCCGATAGGTAGCAGCATACCTATACCTGCTTTACGTGCATCATAGCAATATGTGCAGCACGAAAAGAAATGGCTGGAAGGTTGGAGAACAATCCATGACGTCTTAGGGCTACAGAGCGTTAGGGGTTTCTTGCCTTGTCTGACGTACAGGCTCTGGACTAATCATACCATAGTTGTCCTTTCTAGGAAGGTATAAAATCTGAAAGTCTTATCAAGAAAAGGAACATTGATCGATCAATTATCTAATTCATTCGGGTATACAACCTGGATATCATGACGCTCGCTGGTCTTCGCCTCCGGCCCCCATCAGTATAGACGTTTACCACCAGAAACTCCCTCCGTCCACCTTTACAGGGAAATGAGTACCACGTATGAAGGAAGTGGACATGTACGCATATGAACCCCTGGTATTGACCAGGGTGTATCGATCTAGCATTACAACTGTCACGGTTATGATTGATTAAACTGGAAATATTAACCTCGAGGCGGGTAAAAAGCCGTCAGCAACGACTAAGACAATTCCAATAAACCCCGAGCCGTATATCAGATCAATTAACGGAATCACTAAACATAAATACGAGAGGAGGCGGAAGAGAAGGGGCAGTTCAAGGGTATTGCCATAACTGTAAAGTTGCATGCAATTAATGAATTAAACAAAAAAAAAAAAAACATAAATACGAGTGTTATGGCATGCGAGTGATGATCTATGATTAAAATCAATGAGCTGTTCGACACAAGAGTAAACGTACAGCATAGCCCCCATCATCTACTAGAATTATCCAAGTCAGTAATGGCGGGAAAAATCCCCTTGATAAATGTAGTTTGCACATCAAATTCAAAGCTGCGAATAGTCTCACCGGATCACAGAACAGACCTTTCTAAAGCACGACACCTACTCGACCACACAGGCCCCACTTCTATTTCACCGCGCTATCTAGCTTTTCTGCTAAGTATTATCACCAGTAGCCCTTTCACAACACTAGCCCCTCAAACCCGGAAGCCCCAAAGTCACGGAAGTAACCTAGTCGAGTGATAAATCATGATGCATCCGCCGAAGGAACACGAGAAGTTTCCCATCACATGATAGCATTAGGCTCCATTTACAAAGGGGACTTTACTGGGTTTAATATATAGTACTAGGGCATATATGATTGCAATAGACGCGGGATAGTCTGGCCAGGTAGCCGCAACCACTACGTGGATAGACGAAGCACTTATTTTAATAGGTGCACCTGTGCTGCTGGCGTCCAGAAGCCTAGCTGGGTCATATCAAGGACTTCCTGTCTTCCGAAGGGGGCACTATAGCATAAGTGCTCGACCGGGGTGATTCAAAATAGAGGTGGTGCATGGCTTTTAGTATTCCCTAAGCTTAAGGCCACGCCCAGTCTTATCTTATCTCGTAGATTGAAGGGCCGACTATCTCTGTTGAGGAATACAGCCGTAAGGCTATATATAATTAACGAACTAAACAAAAAAAACGGCTAAGGATATAGAATCATGATCCATCACTCGAGCGCCAAGAACTCACACCCGGTGCGTGTCTGCACTGATATACCCCGCCAGCGTAGCTACCCGCCATATCCTACAAATTGTTTAGGCTGGATAATTGTAGTATGCTTGCGTACCAGTAAAAGAACCAGAACATGGGGTTGCCCAGGGCAAAGATAGTTTGTATGGAGTGGCGCCGTTCAATCCCTATTTCCGTCACTTATATTTTCTAATTCTTTTGCTAGTAAACAAGTACACTAGGTGATATCAAAACCGATATCTGCTGCCACGGAAGGTCCAGAAAGTCAAAATACTAGCGTTGACCAATACTAGTACTCTTATCCACCACCACCACCACCACCACCACCGGCCTCCAATAATCCAGTTTTGTGGGTGAGGTCATACATATATATAGCATCAACAAATACTAAATCACCTGCGGGTGCGTACTGTGTCTTGGCCTACAGCTTGTAATCTCTCCGCGGATCAGACACCCACTATCTATCCCCTCCTCGGGGGAGGAGGGACGCCTTCCGGATCCCCTTCCGGTCTCAATCTCTAGCTTACGTGACATCTCCAGCCAGATCTAGCACGACCGTTATCTCGACAGCCAGCAACAATCAGCACACCTGCCCATCTATCCCTTCGTCTGGCAAAAAATGCTGCCCACCCCCCCCCCAAAAAAAAAAAAAAAAAAAAAAAAAGCGTGGCTTTACTAACAGATCCTGTTATCTCTCTTATCAAATAACAGATCACCCATACAAATTTAATATTATAGGGTGGGCAGCATTGCCAATCCAGCCAAGCCCCCGCAGAGCGGGAGGCGAGAGACGGGTGATAATCCATGACCGAAACATACACCGTGGAAATATTCAACTTTGTTACTACAATATGTATACCCCCTCCTTTCCACCTCCCCCCCCCCCCCTCCCCCTCCCCAATCTGCGTATCACCTCACACACATCACGACACACACACAGAACAGAGACTGAAGCCAAGGTCATATATATATATTACTCTTTTCCATTTCCATTCCCACCCCCCGACCCACTCCCCACCACCACCCACCCACAAAAAAAAAGTATCCACAACCAAAAGCAAAAAGAAAGGAAAAAATAAGATATGTATATAACCCCCTCCCCCCCTCCCCCCCTCCCCCCCTCCCCCCCTCCCCCCCTCCCCCCTCCCCCCCTTCCCCTTCCCCCCGGGGCCCATTCCCTCCAAAAATATCGACAAGAAAGCAAACCAAAACCAAAACCAAGATATGAGTATGCATGTGTAAAGTGTAAAGTATCCAACCCAGCCACAGCCATCCCTCTGGCATGCATCGTTGTTATGGGGACCACAACAAACTACAACTAGATGTAGCCATGCATGGATTTTAGGAGGAGATGGAGACAAGAGATGACTGACCATGACCATAGAGTAGACAGCCATGGGCAGCCAAAAAAAAAAAAAAAAGAGAAGGAAAAAAAAAAAAAAATATGCAACCTGCCCAGCCCATAAAGAATATAAAAAAAAACGGTAAAGCAACCATGCATGCAATCGCCATACTACTTTCCAGAACCCGGACATCACTCGGGGTCCAGTGAATGATCGGCAGGGTAAGGGTCCAGTAAGAGGTGAGCAAAAAAGAAGCCAGCAAAAGAAGCCAGCAAAAAGAACGCGGAGAGGAGAGAACCTATTCATACAAGACAACGACAAGACAAGGACAACGACAAGACAAGGACAAGGACAAGACAAGACAAGAGGAGATGGATCAAAAAGAGGACCGGACAAGGAAAAGATATGCAATGACGCCGCCAGCCAGTCTACCCCAAGTCTACCACCACCCTACCACCTACTACTGCTCACTGCTTACTGCTTACTACCGCAGATGCTACTACTGCGCTATGTACCGTACCGCACTGCACCGTGCCGACAACTCACAAAGACGCACTCCTAGAGTTCATCCTCGCGGCAGCCTTCTTCCCGACTTCATAACTCGATATCTACCCCTCCGTCAGCCCCGCCACCCACCAAACACTCAACGGAAGAAAATCAAACTCACCATAATCGCACACGCCGGCGCAACCTTCAACATCCTCGGCACACACCCCCTCATCAACCCGGCCACCCCCTCCATCCTCCAAATCCCCCACAACAACCTCGGCATACTCCCACCGCCGCCCACCTGCATCGCCACCTGCCTCCTCGTCTTGCCCACATCAAACGGCGTCGTCAACAGCGCCGCAACAGCCCCCGACGCCGCCCCCGCCACAAACGCATCCACAAACGTACTCTCCGCATGTATGTCACTCGGCAGCGTCTGCAGCGGCGCCGCACCCATATGCCAATTCTGCTCGCGCTCCCGGCGCAGCCGCGCCTTCACCATCTCATAGCCAAACCAGTACACGCCGGAGAAGGGCACGTCGCGCCAGAGCGTCAGCCCCAGCCCGCGCCAGAGCGATGCAACGCCCTCAGCGGCGACCATGGAGCGCACGCCGGCGAGGGTGGAGGAGAATGTGTGGTCTGCTCCTGCGGCCTGGAGACGTGTTCGGAAGAGCTCGACGGGGGAGATGACTGTTGCCGCGATTGTGCGGGCAGCGGAGCCGGCGATGAGGGGTGCTGCGGTGGGGCCGAGGGGGGAGAGGGTGTCGCGGAGGGAGTCGTAGCCGGTGAAGTAGATTACGTTTGCGGGGATTGCCATTAGGAGGGTTGGGGAGAGGCCGCGCCAGAGGGAGGGGAGGCCCTCGTGTTTGGCAATCTTGACGAGGCCTTCGAAGGTGCCGTTTATGCGGTGGTGGGCGACGGCAGAGGGGACGGAGGGGGCGGTGAGTTGGCATGAGGGGAGGGAGGGGGCTGCGGCGAGGCAGGCGGTGGGTGTCGGCGTGAGCCAGAAGACTTCGCGGCAGCAGGCGGTCACGCCGAGGTTGGGGGTAGGGCGGCCGTCGTGGAGGTGAAGGTGAGGGGGGCGATGGGGATCTTGGAGCGGAGGAGCGTGGAGGAGCGGTGGGCGGGGGTGTGGTGCTGTGATTGTAGACGTACTCGGACTACGTCGAGAGGTGTTACTAGGAGGTGTTAGCATTGTAACGATATAGTGAGTTGTATATAGGAAACATAGTGACGGGGGTGGATAGGTAAACGTAGAGTCACGACTGATAGGAATTGATACAGGACGCATTGCTCAAAAGAAAGCTGATGGCAATAAGATAAAAGGTAGGAAGGTATAGTATAATAGAGCTCAAATCTGCCCAAGAAAACCGCAACACCCAAAGCTCAAATCTCAAGCTGTGGTGTTGCGGACAAGATACGTCACGAGCAATAACTCGGGTCTGCATCAGATAAGAGCAGAGCACAACATCATCCACCCCAAGCAGCACCAACCCTCCAATGCCCAACACACCCGCAACAGGAAAGAGGACAGAAGGCGTAAATAGAACAGCCCAAACAGATTTTCCGCTACTTACCCAACAAACTCGTCAACAAACTCCCCGAACAAGCCGCCAACATCTTCTGCGTCGCCGTTATCTCCACCTCCTCCTCCTTGATCCCACCACTCGTCTCGGCCCTCGCGGTCGTCACGAATCCGTCCGCCGCGCTCATCCTGTTGGAATGGTAAGAATTGCTGTGTGGTGCGTGGTTTGTAAAGTGGTAGTTGTCGCTGCTGCTGTCTAGGTGTAGGTGGTTTGTATTATTCGCCATCGTTTCGTTGTGGTGCCCCGGGGGGGGGGGGGGGGGGGATGTCTGGTCTCTCGGGTATCTCTCTATCGCTCCTCCCGGTATCACTACAGACTAGAAGTAGAGTTCTGTTCGCGATCAAAGAAATCTGTCTGTCTGGTTTGGGGGGGGGTGACGTTTTTCTCTCTCGTTCTCTTCACTTCCACGGGTTCGGTCGGCTAGACAGGCGTTGTGTACTGTACCTACAAAAGAAAGAAAAAAATGTGGGGTCTTTAGTAGAGCAGTAGAGAGGTTACTCCAAGGTAGAGTCTACCAGCCAGGGCGCGGGCCACCGTTTACCGCGGGAATGGGAGGGAAAGAAAAAGGATCTGATAAGAGATGAATGTGGTCGAAGCCGTTGACGTCTTTTTTTTTTTCCTTTTCGCCACGGTGGGCGGTTCGGGCGAATGAGAAATGTCCCCGCAATCAGATCCGATGTCATCTCGCTGCTGTTTTGCGCAGGGTTAGGGTTTGTGGCTGCAGGTATCAGGTATCAGGTAGGGAAAATGAACCCTGGACGATGCCATCATCTTTTGTGCAGCAGAGAGGGATCGATGCAGGACATCTTGCGGGGCCAGGGAAAGCTGGGGAGAGCAGACAGACAGACAGCAAGCGGTGAGGGGAATTAAAGCCACATACCGTATCTGATCCTGCCTGCTGTTCTCACTTCTCTTTGTTGAACTGCTCTAGAGTCTATATACAATCCCCCGGGTCCCTGTCACCAAATACATACCAAAGATAACCTCTACCTACTCTAGCTCTAGCTAACGGTGATGCCGATGATGCAACACCTTCTCCCTTCCAGAACATGATCTCGTTTGCTGATCTTAGGTGTGGGGATCCATGTACATACACAGCTACAGGGTTAGGGTTACAGTGCTATCTCGGTTATCGCTTATCTCCTATTTCCGCCATGTGAACGAGAAGTTCAACACTCGGTCTTCTCCACAGACACATCTACCACGGCCTGCAGACTCTCGTGTGCTCTACTCATCCAGTACTCACTCACTCACTCACACTCACAGACTGCCAGTGACTCAGCTACGTATCCCGCATACGAGATCGAGCGAGAGCTGTGACTCGGCAGAGGTAGCACCTGTGTAACACTTCACTTGCATGCCCCCCTGCGTCTTACACAACTTAAGCTACTTTAAAAGCTACAACGAACCCACAGCTCCAATCCCACGCACAACCACCACCACCACCACAACTCCACAACACCCAACACCCCCCACAACCCGCAATGGACGACCGCGAAACCGAACTCTCCCGCTTCCGCCAGCAATGGCAAGCCGAAGTCACCGCGCGCACCCAGCCCACCCCCGGCCCCAGCACCACCACCACCACCCACACAGCCAGACCAGCACCCTTCGCCCCCCGCCGCCTCTCGCACCGCGAACCCGTGCCCGAATCCGACTCTGACGACGAAGGAGGAGCGGCAAGGGCGGAATTCGCGCCCCTGCAGCGGGAGCGCAGCACGTCGCCACAGGCGACACGGAGGTCGGCGCAGGCCCCGGCGAGCGCGTTGGAGCATTATGAGAAGGCGGTGGAGAGGGAGACGCAGGGGAGCTTGGGCGAGAGTCTGAGTCTGTACCGGAAGGCTTTTAGGGTATGTTCTTCCTCACCCCCCGGAGGGCAGGATTCTACGTGGGATGGGGAGAGGGAGAGAGAGATGTAGGTGGATAGGTAGCTAATGGGGCATGATAGATGGACGCCAAAGTCGACTCCCAATACCGCGAGAAATACTACCCCCGGCCCACCCCCGGCGCACACCCCACCGCCAGCGCCGGCGCTGGCGCATCCACATCCACCACCGCCGCCGCCGCCACGCCAGCATCGCAGGGACAACCCCCGGCGTCAATTGCCGCACTCATCGAGTCCTTCGCGCACCTCGCCATCCCGCCAGCAGGGACAGAAGACACAGTCGTCTACTCCCCATTCACGACCCTCCCGCACGAGCTCCTCCTGCACATCCTCCACACGCTCGCAACAACCGACATCGCCTCCTTCGCGCGCTGCGCAAAGGTGTGCAAAGCCCTCTCCTACGTCGTGTCCACCGAGGAGGCAATCTGGCGCGACGTGTGCACCAGCGCATTCGCAAAGATGGCCTGGGACTGGCGCGTCAGCGTCGACGGTACTCCACTCATCCGCCGCGTTCTCGGCGGCGAGAACGACGACTCCCTCCTCCCCCCCACCACCACCACCACCCCCGCAGTCCCAGAGGTAGAAGCCGAAGAAATCGAACAGGAGGAGGAGGAGCAGCGCCCAGTCCCCGACGACGAGGCACACCTCCCCAAATACGGCGGCAGCTGGCGCGCAATGTTCCAGTCGCGCCCGCGCATCCGCTTCAACGGCGTGTACATCAGCACATGCAACTACGTGCGGCAGGGCGCCTCGCAGTCAGGCTGGAACACGCCCGTGCACATCGTCACGTACTACCGCTATCTGCGCTTCTACGACGACGGCACTGTTCTGTCCCTCCTCACGTCCTGCGAGCCGTCGGAGGTGGTGTACGGGTTCTCACGCACCGGGGTGCAGGGCGGCGGTGCCGCGGTGGTGGCCGGCGGGGCGGGGACGGGCGTGCTGCCGAGCGCCGTGGCAAAGTATGTGGCGGGGGGAGGTGGCGGATTGATGCTGACGGCCGGGTGGATGTGGAGACGGTGCAGAGGGGCATGGAGAGGTATTTGTTTCGCATGCAGCTAAGGCTGGGGAGTGTGAGGAGTGGTGGGAGGTGGGTGGGGAGTAGGAAGTTGGCGTGGGAGGGGTTTTGGAGCTGGAATAGGGTGTCGGATGATTTGGCCGAGTTTTCGCTGAGGTTGGTTCTTTTTTTCCCCTTTCGTGCTGGTGGTGGTAGTGGTGCTAGTGGTAGTGGTGGGAGGGAGAAGGGGGTGGAGGACGGAAGGTGGAAAGAGGAGATGGAATATATACTTACTGACGTCTCTCACCTCTCGTGAATTGTAGGAACGATAAAGCATTCATCTTCTCCCGCGTCGGCAGCATCGAGCGCGAGCTTGGGCTGTCATAGAACATCCATTTCCTTGGGGCGTAACCCCTGTCTCTTTCTCTCTGTTCTGTATGTAACCCTTACCCACACCCTTGACTTTCCCATAAGGGTCAGGGCTGTTGTTTATTACCACTGTCATTAAGCCCATTTGGGCTGTGTGCATCAGTCTTTGCTTTTTTGCTTTTTTCTTCTGCGTTTTCTTTCGGCGGAGGGTGGCCGCATAGAGCTAGAGCTAGAGTAGGTAGATGATGGGGGGGGCACGGGCATTTCAATTTTTTTATTTTTATTTTTTTATTTTTGGGGGGTGGTGGGAGGTGTTAGGTTACGAATTGTGATGATGCTGGGGGTTGTTGGGGATGAGATGGAGATGGAGGTGGTGAGGGTGTGATAGTGATTGGGAGGGAGGAAAGAGTCGGTGAGCGAGTCGCGCCGGGGGGGGGGGCGGCGTCTTTGTCTCTGTCTTCGTCTTTGAAGAGATGAGGAAGGGGTGGAGAGCGGGGGGAAGGGAAGAGGGAGGGGATGGAAATTATTATACTTTTCCGATCCCGTTTCGTTTCATGTATCATATCATATGAGCAAAAACATTAAACATACCTACACCCACACTTACATACGCAAACCTCAAATTTCGTTCGTTCGGCCCCCAAGGAAGGGAAGCTGCGGGGAATGGAGGAGTGGGAGGTGAGGAGAGGAAGTGTGGATGAGTGTAGAGAAAGAGGGGGAACACACACACTCACAAACGCATTTCTCAACAACTTGCACCTTGAGTAGAGTACGTGGGCCACTGGTTTGAGATGAGCTCGTGATGTAGGTTGATGTGCTTGCTTGCTTGCTGCTAGCTGTAGGTTAGCTCTCCTTCTAGCATCATCATACCTACCTTCCCGGTCCCCCCCCCCCCCCCCCAGCAAGCAGCATGCACAACAGAACAACGTGGGGAGCAGCAAGCAGCAAGCAGAACAGAGATTAGTGCCATTTAAATTTCCCAGCCGGGCGTGTCGTACCGGATAGCTTATTCGCTCGCTCTCTCACTTTCCCAAGAGTTCCAACAGACCAGCAAGCACAGGTGCACGGTTACTCTACCTGCCTGCCTGCCTGCCTGCCTCTGAGGGAGAATCCCGATGGTGGGAATTTCATCAGGGGGGGGGGAGACGCAGGGCCCTTTTTTGTTCATGTAGGTACGGACAGGTTGCTTGCTTAGCGAAAGGGAAAGAAAGAAAAAAGTGGATGGAGTTGTTGTGGGCGCGCGCGCGCATCATCGTACATACATGCCGCTTGCTGGAGAACTACCCTAACTGCACCTTCTTAAGAGTCCGTACAGACAGATGTTTGTGAAAGAGACACTGGCGCTGGCGGTTAGTAATGAAAGCATGAATGAGTGAGAAAGCGTGAATGAGTGAGTGACTGTGTGAGTGCAGTAAAGTGAGTGAGGAAGAATGATCGGTTGTTAATTGCTGTTGCTTCACACTCACACACTCTCACACATCCTAGGCCCTAACTACGTGGTCCGAGTTTTAAGTTGCACCCACCTCCCCACAGCCGGCCAATTGTCACTCAACTGTACATGTATGTACATGTAGCTAGAGCTTTAATTAACCTCCATGTAATGTACAACCTCCTACATACGAGCTACGATACGCGGCTTTGATGGAAAAGCAGGCAGAAAGACTGCACGCTTCTTCTTTGCCGCCGGGAGAAGGAAAAATTATAATCTGCTCTACATACTGTACATACTCTACGCTTCTGCACTTGTGAGAATCTGGGGAACCTGTAGGTAGGTACATAGGCCATAGTTAGACGTACAGGAATTCTCGATCCAGCAGCACAGCACAGAAGGACAACGACAACGGGTGAGAGAGAGTGAACAAGTGAAACACACAGACTGTAACTGATCTGACGAACCCTTTTTTTTTTCCCTCCCTCCTCCTCGTCCCCTTCTCGGTCACTCACTCGTTCACTCGTTCTCTCGATCCCACCCGTCCCTACCTGCCTGCCCTACGTACATACCCTACCAGCTAGCCAGCCAGCCACACTGGTGATCTTTTCTGCGAAAATCGGCGCTCTAAAGAAAATAAGGACAGACGTAATAAAACGAAGGGGGAACCAAATATAATACCAATCAATACCGGGGAAACATTAGAGAGACCCTTTTTGAGCATTCACAACCCACCACACACCCACACACACACACACACCTACACACCTACTACACAACTACTGCTTCATACTACTACTACTACTACTACTACTACTACTACTACTATCACCATACTGCATACTATTTACTACTATCTTACTGTATACACCCCCCCTCCCTTCATTACTATTCTCTATCTTTGCATACCTTGTCCCTTTTTTTGCCTGCTGGCTATCATCATCATCAACCTTTATCCCCGTTGTTCCCTGCTCCGTCTGTCACGCTGGCTGTACCGGTTCTTCTCCCCTCGCTGTGCAAATCCGCCCCGTTTCCTCCCACCACCACAACCTCTTCACCCACAACCTTTACCACCAACCCCCCAGCCCAACCCCAATCAACCGGAATCACGGAGGCAACCACAGACCACCGCTACTCCTTCCACAGCAGTCTAACCAACTTCTGGAAGCAACACGCTCACAACACGGCGGCGGCGGCGACAGCAGCAGCAGCAGCAACAGCAGCAACCACAACAACAACAGGAGCAGCAGCACCGACGCCGACCAGCCCTCTGATTAAAATGTCAGAGGACTCACGCGGTCGCATACAAGATCCCCGAATAATTACCCGTTCTACCCGAAAACCTTCCCCCGGCCTGGCTGCAAGGATCAAGATGCTTGAGGCAGACGCTGAGAAACGTAACTCGAATAGGGACCGTTTATCTCCTTCTCCCTCACCTCACAGGAAACTCCTACCCGACCTGGTGCAATCTGCTCCTACCCCGTCTCCCGTCACAACCTCATCAAACGGTATGTCTCTACCTCTACAAAAGGAATTGCCCCCTACTCCTATCGAGGAGGAGGAGGACGAATACACCCACCAACAAGAGGGGGAACACCACCACCAACACCAACAACAGGAGAATGGAGGGGCAACAGAGGAAGAAGTTATTGAGCAAGAAGACCACGAGCACGACATTCCGGAAGAACCGAGTGAAGGCGGTGGCGGTGTCATTGATGAGTACGAAGAAACCCCCCCAGCCGTGCCTCCAAAGGAGGAGGACCCTTTCGTCCAAATGACCTCCCCCGTGCGGGAGCGTCCCGACACATCCCACTCCATCCTGACGGAGGAAATCAAAACACCGTCGACGGCCCGCTTCACGGACGACACGACGGACCCGCCCAGCAGCGGCAGCATCTACGGGCACTCGAGCTCGTCGTCAACCTCGCTATCACGACGGGCCTCCGTGTTCTCCCTATCCCGCGTATCGTTCTCCGCACAACTGTCACGCCTCACCTCGCTCTCGCTCCCGTTATCGTCCGATATCTCGTCGCGGATTAGGCAGTTGCCCACGGCCGGAGAAGCTTGCAACGCGCTTATCGGTGCGGGCGATCAGATCACTCGATGGATCGACACTGCCAAGAAGGTTCTCCGCGGGCTCGACGCGGAGGATGATGTGGAGTGGGCTGCACAGGGGCGTGAGTCACTGAATAGCGTAGATGGTGCTGTCAGCAAGTTCTCGGGTCTTATCAATGTGTACGTTGAGCTCATTGAGGAGCTGCGGCAGAGGGAAGACATCAATTCTGTAAAGGAGACCCTGATGGAAATCTTGAAAAGTATGGATGTTGTATTGGATGGATGGAAGGAGGTCAAGGAGATTTTGAAGGGCGTAAAGGACCAAGTCGAGACGGCCATGGAGTGGACAGAGCTGTGGACAATGATCCTCCAGGATATCCAAGCCGAGCTCGATGCATGCCAGACGATCGTGTTTGAGGAAGAGGAGAAGCGCCACCGGAGTTTGATGGAGGACGGATCACTGGTTGGCGGGGTGGACCTAGACACCCTGCAAACCATTATAGAAGACGCGCCAAATTCCTCGCAGGCAAAGGTAGTCGTTAAACTCGAAGACAGCTCCCTCCTGGGGTTGATCGCTCGGATGCAACCGTTGAGAGTCAGTTTAGATTTCCTCCCCATGAGGCTTCAGAGTTTCCAGGCAAGAGCCGAAGAAATATTCCCCAGCGCGTGTGAAGATTTGATGTCACGACGATGCACCCTTGAAAAGAAGTGGACAAAGCTCAATTCGGATGTAGAAGGGTTGAAGAAAGAGCTAGGAGAAGACAAGTGGGTTGCGTTATTCCGAAACGCGGGCAAGCAGACTGCATCTATGATCGGGAGCGTCGAGCGAAGTCTGGCAAAACTTCGAGATGCCGTGACCGTCTGGGAAGAAAGCGGCGGCCGGATCGATGAAGGCCTAGTTTCCAGGATGCAGAACTACGAGGCTAAAAAGGTGCATTACGGTATGTATCTGTGGCTACGCGGCCTAAGTCTTGGTAGGATACTGATATCGATGGAACAAACAGGCAGCGCGATCGACCGGGCCTTGGGGCTTATTAGTAAAGGTGTCCGTGATCGTATTACTGTCAATGGCGAGATTATTAGGCTCGAGACGGCGATGCGAACGCGGTGGAAGAACCTTGAAGCTTCAATGGCAGATATGGAACAAGACCTGAACGAACTGCAGCTGGACTCCCAGACTCTCCGTGACTCAATGTCGACGATCACCTCATTGGACGTTCGCTCGTACAACAGCTCTGGAATGATCACTCCCGGCAGCTCGCCGGCAAGCTCAGTCATCATGGCCACTTCCCCAACAACCCTCGAGCGTAAACGGTCACCCATATCTGGAAGCAGACGGATGAGCCATTCAACAAGCCCTGGCGACAGGAGTTCCACGAGCGGTATCCCGAAGAAATCGCCGCACTCTCGTCTTTTGTCGACTGGAGGTTCATCACTGGCTCCCATCTCGACTGGGATGGTTAGGACAACGTCTGCACCCTCGAATCAGACGACGCCCTCAAGGGATAGTCCGAGGAAGTCGTCAGTTGGCTCCTCATCTAGTGCTAAGAAATTTGATGGTAGACCTCGATGGAACACATCCACTAATATTAGTGATGGCCTCTATGGTCAAAGCTATAAGCCTCTTAGTCTTGCTACCCCCGCATCTCCAAAGACGCCTCGCTCTACCTCCTCCCAGGGCAACCACACACGTATTCCCATGCCGAGCCCATTGAGCCAGGCAAATGGGTCAAACCCCGGGTCACCAAGCTATCACCATAGACTCTCGTCGTCCATTACATCTATGGGTCGCCGGGCTAGTGCTGGTATCCGAAAGAGCCCAAGCCCTGCTCCAAGGACTGGATACCCGCCACAGCAGCAGCAGCAGCCCACATCAGGTAGGCCTGAGTTGCGAAGACGGACTAGCGCAAGTCAGCTTCGCTACCAGTCTAACCGTCAATCACAATCCACGACTAACTCCCCTAAGACTGCTCAATTCAACAACGAATATCAAGATGAGGAAGAGCAGCAAGAGGAGCCGAGGGAGCAGAAGAGGTCATCTAGACCAGCGAGTGCGATGGCTAGCAGCGCACTCGGCTACTTGAGGGGTAACAGGATGAGCATGTTGCCAAGACCTACGACACCGAATGGCAGGCCTACTGGTGGCGGGGATGGTATTGGTGCCCACGGAAGCGCCGGTCTGTCTGGAAGAAACAGTGTTGCGGGAAGTACCGATTCAAGAGGGAAGAGGATGAGCATGCCACCTGTATCGAAAGGATGGGGGTATGATGGAAGGCCAAAGTGGAAGCATTAAACGGGTAGAATAGAGAGAGGGGGCTTACTTTTCTGTTGTTCTGGACAGATGAAGGAAAGAGACAGTTTGTATTTTTTTTGACTTGATACCCTTTTTTATTAACCGAGGAGGGGGAATGAACCGACCTACCTTGTGGATTGGTGTGGTGGTTTCTCATTCGCTTTTCGCCTACTACTCTTTCCTTTCTTCTGTATTTTGTTTCTTTGGAGGATTATTACTAAGATAAACATTAGCCCTGTCAGCACATCACCCGTATTCCTTCTATTCTATCTTCTTTTTCCTTTTTTTTTTTACTGTTTGTAGCGTCATAGTTAGTGCTGGTTGAGCTCAAGCATTGTGAGAATAGTTTTCTTGATTTTTTCTCTGCGGTCATTGTCTTTTTGTGTTGTATTTGCAGTATCATGAGCGTCTGATTTTTTTTTTGCTTGTTTCCGTTCCCACCTTTTTCTGTCCTTTCTCTTACTTTACCTGCGAGATTGGTTTCGCAAAAGATGTTGATGTGCAATTGGTTTTTTTGTGGGGCGGGGGGATGGCGGGGGGGTTATTAGGCGTTTTTTCAATTTTTCAATTTCTTTTTTTTTCCCTTTCCCTTTTTTTCCCCTTTCATTTTCAATCTTGGGGTCGGAGGAGAGTGCGAATTGACACCTTTTTTTTTTTCTCTTACCGCTCTGTCTGTCCAGTTTACTCTTACTCACTTTTATTTTGGAAACTTTTGTCTTTCCCTCTCCCCCCCCCCTCTCACTCTCTTCTCTCTCTCTCTCTCTCTCTCTCTCTCTCTCTCTCTCTCTCTCTCTCTTTCTGTTCTGGTGCGCCGGTAGTGTAGAAGTGAATGCATCATCAGGATTTGAAGGTTCTCCTCTCTCTTCTCTGTGCGCTGTACTCGGTAGATGGATATATAGGCGGTTTCAACCGCTTTCTCTTTTCTTTTCTCTCCCGTTGCTATAGGGGTGCGAGTGATATTGTGTGACGGATTGATATGGTATGCGTAATCATAATGGGTTATATGTAATGAGTTTCCTTTATTGGCTGGAGTGCGGTGGGGCCGATGTGAGGAAGGCCTAGTTAGGGGAAGTGGTGCGTGGTGCTGGGTACATAGCTGGCGGAATATAGAACCCACCTTTGGTGACTTGCTGCTTGATGTGCTTTGTCGTGAAGATTAAGCCCCTGGTCTCCTCCATAGGCCGAAATCTGCCAAGATCTGCTAACACCATGAATATTACAAGTAGTTACTAGCATGCTCAGGGAGGTCGGCTGTCACTTCAAAAGAATACGTGGTGAGTCCCTAAAGGATTTGTAGATTAGAGAAATATTTTTCCTCAAAAGTCTTGGCTCACAGATAATCACTCGGTTTATCGAGCCCAAGACGAGACTGTCTTTTTTTTCTTTCTTGTTTAATTCATTAATTGTATAAAGACGAGACTGTCCCACTTGATTGCTCGATTAATGGCTTATTAATTTTGTAGAGACCGTCCCCCTTTCACCTCACAAGGCAAGATAAAGGGCCATGTACTGTATTTTTAGCCGTCGCGTTCCCGGGGGCAGGGAGCTTTAATTACAACTACATGTATGTATCGTGTCTGAACGCCGGTGGCTTAATTGGTGCCACCAGTCGCCGCCATTGTATGTTCTCCCGCTCGCCCTTTATTTGGTAGTAGGTACTTGTTTTTATAGGAAGGGGAGCGGGCTGGGGGATAGATAGATCCTAGTCATACCCCCTGAATGGTTGGTGTTATGATATTTGATAGTTGGGTTCAATCCAAAGCGGAAAAGGAGAAAAGAGAAAATGTATAATGAGCGGTATCGGCCTCCAACCTAGAGACTTTGGTTTGTGCATTTTACGTTGGCAATACAAAGCTGAAGTAGGCGTGTTCTAAATTTTGGCACGAGAGAGTCCCCATCAAATTTGACCAATCTGGATGATCGTGCACGTGTACATACATCACAAGAGATTTATAAATCGGGGAATCGATGCCCTATTTAATAGTTTGTCCTTGGCTCGAGGGCTTTGTGAGTCTAATTATTGACTCCTAGGGCCAACGCAAAAGGCATGGAAAGTTCTCAGAGTCCGAGCGTCTGCCGGTCTTTTAATGCTAATCACTGGAAAGATTCCTAATCCTACTAATTGACCGTGTTTCAGTTCTGGCTAAGTGGGGTTCCGTATTGTAGGGGGGCTTGCAGATCTCTAGTATCGGCGAGAGCTTCCCATGCGGTGTAAAGAAGGGTTTCTGTGATTAAACGTTTCTTCCTCTAATCCTTACCCACCTACAAACAGCTGCACCGACCTAGCCAAAAAGCGCACCGATAACCGCCCCCAGGTCTGTTGATATACGTATGTATGCAAGGCCGGCCCACTCCTTGTCGCTATACATCCTACATACTAGCCAGGCCGCCTAGAAGGTCAAGGATTCTTTAAGGCTCCTTATACCGGCAGTCAATATCTCGCTGATCAGTAGAACCCGCAATATTCTTTTTTACACTCATTCTCGCCGCAGCGCTGTCGGCGCGTGGCTACCGCCAACCACTCTCAGCATACCAAAGAATATGCAGTAGATAGGTATCCCACGGCCCTAGAGATACTGAACCGGTCTGGGTGTGGATTGTCTCTGTGCGGGGGCGGTCTCCGGGTTGCCGGACGCACTCCAGATGTAAAGACTAGACTGCGCGATCGATGTTCTCCGGTGCGGGAATGCTGGTTTGTTAGTCCGGACGTCTGTCTAAACTGCGTGTACGGTCGCTAGTTGCGCCCGGTGATTCTATCGGAGACTTCTAGCAACGATTTATCAAAGAGTTTTGGCAGTGCCTCCAGTCTGGAGTGACGAGTGAATCATTGAGTATCACTCGTTCCTGGTCTGGGACTAGCTATCTTGGCGCTAGTGTTTTAAAACCAGTGGGGCCAATAAAAGCACTCATAAAATTCCTGCACACACGATCATTGAATCAGCCCATCGTTTAGCGCCGGGAGTTTAAAACCTCCCCAATAGGGATCTACAACATGTAGGTTGTCTTTTACTACGATAAGGTGAAAATAGCCTATTAAATAGTAAGTAAGCGCGGGGGTGCACAGCGTGCAGGGAACTTCCTTGCGCGCATTAGTAGCAGTTTCATAAATCCCGTAGGAGAAAGATCGAAGCTGTGCAGAGAGAGAGAGAAAGTTACCGAGTTGTATCTCCACTCACTCTGCTCGCTCACCGGCCAGGACTCTCCACATCTCGGCAATTTATGTCACCGCGGCACTGCGGGTGTTGCCGAGGGTATCTCAGGGACCGATTAGTACAGAGCTAACTTCTATCCGCTCCAACAACGCGGCGCAATTCTTCCCCTCCCCCCACTATAAGAACCCACGTCTCCAGCCCTCAAAGTGCTCTCTATACTCTCATACTATCTTCTCTCCATACCCATAATGTCCAACATAACACTCATCGGCGCGGGCACCATCGGCCTCTCCTTCTGCGCCCTCCACCTAACACACCACCCAACGAGCAAGATCATAATCCATGACCCGCGCCCCGATCTCGCCGCCCACATCCGCGCCCTCCTCCCTGGCTACCTTCTCACCCTCTCTGTCGACGCTCTCCTCGCGTCCGGCCAGCTCCGCACCGCACCAACCCTTGAGGAGGCCATCACCCCCGAAACCGACATCGTCCAAGAACAGGGCCCCGAGAACCCCGCCTTCAAGACGGCGCTCTGGCCACGTGTGGAAGCGCTCGCCAGCGATGCTTGTCTCCTGTGGACATCGACCTCGGGGATCCCCGCAAGCGTACAGAGCGTCGACATGAAGGACCCCGGACGCCTCTGTGTGGTCCATCCATTCAACCCGCCGCACATCATGCCCCTGATTGAGGTTGTGCCGTCGCCGCTGACGTCTGAGGCGCTGGTGCAGAAGGCCGTGGACTACTTTGAGGGTATACAGTATAAGCCGGTGGTGCTCCGGAAGGAGTGTAAAGGGTTTGTGCTGAACCGGCTGGCGTTTGCGCTGCTGAGGGAGGCGTGCCATCTGGTGCGCGAGGGCGTCACGGATGTGAAGGGGATTGACGAGATTGTTGAGAACTCGCTGGGGATTAGGTGGAGTATTAAGGGCCCGTTTGCGTCATACCATGATGGTGGCGGGAAGGGTGGGTTGGGCGCATTTGTGGCAAATCTGGAGGGGACGATTCAGAATTGTTGGGATGATGCGGGGACCTTGGGGATGCAAGATGAGATGCTAGGAGGTGGCGGAAAGTGGAAAGATGAAGTTGTGAGGCAGACAATGGAGGCCTATGGAGAGGTGAAGGAGCAGAATTTTGTTGTAAGAGATAGGGTGTCGAGAGATGTGATTAAGACTATCAGGGAGGGGAAGGCGAAGACAGATTAGCTAGGCCTCTTTGTATAATCTTTTATAAAACTGGATTTTATATATCTTATAAGAGCAAATGTCTTTATTTCGTTCTTTGGTGATTTCTCGGGTGCATCAACAATGAGTCCAAACCACATACATTGTAGCTGTGAATCAAGTTAGTTCTCAATAAAAACAGTTGATTTACAATTGAATACTCACCTGAAATATTTGACCCATTCCGGGTATGAAACAATCTTGCTCCAGCACGTAGCACTCGTCATAATATCACACTCAATCACAAAAACTCACTCGGCTCAACCATCCATAACAACGACCTCCCTCTCCCTCCCACCTCCCTCTCCCACCTCCCCCCAACTCCACTTCTCTCCTCCTACCGCCTCGCCCCCTCATGACCATACAGCCGAGTAGCTTTTCGAACATCCCTCAATTCCCCGGTCGGGTTAATCTCCACTAGGACAGTTCAGAGATAACAGTCCTAGCGACCGGAGAGAAGGCCGACCCTGTCACGTGATTTGTCATTCGAGACTTTGTTTCGGATTTCGGGCGGAGTGGTGCCGGCGTGAGGGGTAATGAGCGTGTTCTATCTAGCGGTATGCACCGCTAAAAGAAGAGAGTTTTGGGGGATAAATGACGTTGCGTTTAAGTGGAGTTGATGAGGGTAACCCTAACCCTTGAGAGTCATAGATGAGTGCAGAGAATTCGTCAGTTTAGGTAGTAAAGTCCGGTGTGGAGAGTTACTTAGAGGGATATAAAACTATCGTTTGATAAATGGGCGTATATTTTCCATTGAGGCCGAATTCATCCAAAGTAGGTTAACGGCGGGGACGAGTGATAGTTTATGACCTAAATGCCTTTTTTTTATCGGCCGATGAGGACCGGCTCTTTGTTTGCTTGTTGTAGGTGTTTTCAAGGTGTAGAATAACATATACTCTTAACAGTGCCATCTTTACTTTGACGAATCTGGTCTTATATAGCAACCTTCCAGAATAAATCAAATCGTTCCTGAAAGTACGCTACACGCGCTTCCCGGTCCAGTAGGACAAAGTATGTCTTGAGGGGCACAGCAGAAGAAAGAGGTGCCACATATGCCACATGGCTTTTATAATACTATATATGTGGAAACCTTAATTTCTACCGTAGATCATCCACAGCTGCGGCCCCTTCCCATTCCACCATTCTAGCGCTACAACAACCTGATAATATACCGCTCGCATGCTCGAGCAATTTTTAAGATAGGAAACACACGGCCTAGCTATAGGGCTAGATCTGACTGACTCATACTCATCGGTATCTAGGAATTGGGGTGGTGTTCCATGGTCCCGGGGCTCACTTGGTACGCCTCGAAACGATTCTTATATCTGGTACAAGCAACTTGAGTCCCTGACGTGAATTTAGATGCTAAGATATTCGATATCTCTATACGCTAAGATTTGCATCTTCTACCTGGAAAGAAGTGTGGACCAATTGAAGTGTATGCTCACATCATATCACATCTCTTTCCGCTTGAAAACATCTAAAGATGCGTAGATCTAGAAGTCTAGTCTCTGGGATTTCTTTCCGCTTGAATTTCATAGGGGTGAGGTTCTTGATTTGGATGATACGCTAACCTTCCCGCGGATTATAATGCACTGAGAACCTACAAGATATAACCAGGTTAAGATTTTGACTCATAGGTTTGCCATATCTGCATCGGACGATCTTAACGCAAAGCCCTAAATTAACGAATTGATCAAGGTACCTTAAGACTAGCTAGGCCGGAGTGGCTAGCTGAATATCGAATTGATGGTACGTGTTAATAGGGGGTAACTAAATTTCCTAGGACTGTCCTGGTTTCTGGAGGATAAAATATATGATTGTGGCTTTGATTTTAGGATACCAATTGTAACTGTCGATAGGGTTGGCTTGGAGCCAATCGCTAACCCGCACTCTGAGGTACCCTTCACCTTCACCCTCTCCTGGTATTTATAGTGTGTACTTTACACATCACTACATGTACGTATATATATACGATGATCATAACCCCTCTCAACTCAACCCCCACTTCTACCCCCTCCTTTCCCGGTCCAAATTTGCTCATTATATCAACTGACGTTTCAAACACAGCTCTGCGGCGGGTTTGGTCTGGTTGTTATCCTGCACTCCTCCTTTCATAGGTTGTGGGATTTTAGGAGCACATATTCGAGTTACCTCCAAGAAGTATGGCGCGAGAAAGCATGGGGGTGGGTGTGTCAACTTCAGAGGAACTCTTTTTGTATGGGAACTGGAGAAAATTCCACCGTTGAGCTAGGCGCTAGTACCATTATGAGAGTAGATCTCCCAATTTCTATATAGATTGATTGACTACAAACGCCGAAGTTTACACACCTACCCACCATAGATTCTCGAGCCATAGTGCCTGATAAAACATTGACATGACTCGTGTAACCTCGGGTATGTGTGGCGTTAAACGTTCGGATATTTACCAAGTGGCACACAACGTTTAGTATTTTAGAGACACTTGGCATTTGTCTCATCTAGGGTCGGCCTTATTGAAAACAAGCCTTATCTAACTTGTTTTAGTTCTGCAGGTTTTCGAAAACCGAATTTGGGACGCTACCAATGTTCAAGATTGGCATGAACACTCCCAAGGGACGCACATGCGTATTGGAGGGGGAAATGAATTCTCCCCACCTAATGAAAACAAAGAAAACAATACGATGACCGACATCTCTGTGATACAATTCTCCAGAGGTAAAAGAGAGAAAATTGGCAAAAAAAAAAAAAAAAAAAAACTCCTTAAATGTGCTGCAACCTTTATGCTAATACCCTCGCAATCTTGCGACCTGCCATGACGTGATCAACAACGCCCATAAACATCACAATAACATTGATTATATCCAGGGCAACTTCAATTGCAAGAACACACAGCTAAGTCAGTTTCTAGCTAACCAGGATCATGGTTTGGAGCAGGGAATTGCTTCTAGACTTACAAAACATTGGACTCGCCAAAGATAATATGCCACATATACTCCATGATTCTCCCGCTGGTTGCATTATCCAGGGGTGTGGTTAAAATCCAATTCCGGTACTGCTCATATTCGGCCTTGGTCCGCGCTAGTATTCGGTCTCTACTAACAGCAAATTGCGCGCAACATGCAGCACCCACAGTCTCTGGGACTGGAGGACTCGTAGAAGAATTTCCAAACATGGCTTTCCATGCGATGCTATAGTCGTGCTCCGCTGTTCTATCTGCGTCTGTATTCCGGAACGGCTGTATTTCATCCGGGCAACCCGGAATCCAATTGCATCGTAGGTTAACATAACCCCTCTGCAGAACTGTGTCGAGACGAAGTTTTTGAAGCGATACAACATTAGAGTAGCCTTTGGCATCGGTATGCCATGCTTTTGGGTAGCCATCTTTATGAGAGTGGACAAAGGCGCTGACTAGAGGGAGGTTATCGTAGAAGTCAATTATATACGACAAATAAACCATAGCCTCATTTCCCTTATTCTTTGGAGGTTGTAACCTGGCGGTAGGATCATCAACTTTATATATTACTGGTTCCCAACTATCGATCGCCAAGCGTGAGTTTAAGGATTGCGAATATATGGAGTGGAACGGAAGCCTACTATGCAAGCTCATGGACCCATTCTGTGTTCTCTTTTTGGAGCTTTGCCATTACGACGGCATTCTTCGTTGGTGCCCAAACATTCTTTTGTGCGGTCTCTGGCGGCGGTGGTTCCTTGAGGACCTCGTTTTTATCCCCCGGAGGAGAAGCTGGAGCTGGCTCAGCGACCTTGACGATTTCGCCGCCTGAAAGCGTAGTATGAAAGAAAGCGCTTGAGATCCCCAGGTACCAAATATGACCGAAAGGTAAAGAAAAAAAGGTGAGTCCAAGTAGTGCAGAAGCCCAACGGTTTCGTAACTTTGGTAGAGGAATCATTTTTAAGATCGATAGATCGGTGTTGAACGGAGGAAAAATGGATTTCATTGTTAGTAATATAATAAAGAATGGCATTACGCGACAAGGCTCCTGTTTTATGAGGGGTCATATTGCGAGACTAATTAAAAACAATGCAGCGCTTGCTACCAGGTGTCGGGACCCGGCATCACGACGAAACAGGGATCTCTTTCAATACCTAAGAAAAAGCTGTGGGATTAATATTAGTTGGATGTGGGCTTCTGAGACATCGATCTTGATTAGTAATCATACGTTGTGGCTGGTGCCTTGCGATTTGCGGTATCACGTATCTCTTGATTGGAGGAGCCGTAGCCTTCGAGATGCTAACATGAGAAAAAAAAAGATATTCTTACAGGCCGTACCCAAGGGAGTTGTCCCAAAACGTATAATTGATGCTGTGTTGGAGACTCATATAATAATATTTGGATGTTGGTCTGAGATATTATGCTATGGCCAGTGCCCTCTGATACTACGTATAACAAGCATGATACAATTTAATATCACTGTTATCTCCTTCTTGCTCAATTAAAGTTATACTTAGGTTAACTAAATGCAATTCTGATCCCGTGGATTAGTATACACCATGTCGTATCCACTTCATGCAGCACGGGCATCGGACCTTCAATTCGAGATACCAAAAGGTATAGCAGGTATGGTGCGCCCACGCTTAAAGGTAGCGGATCGCGACGAAATGTCAATGGCTTATAACTTTGTGACGAAAAATCGTAAAAAAAAAGCGTAATGATAGTTCTATCATTGCAGAATTTTAATATCTGTCTGGGTTGTAAAGCCTTAGGAAGTTGAAATTGTGTATTTTTTTATGTAAAATGCGCCAAGACTGAACAAAGTGGAACAGTATTATACCCATTTAACCCCAGAAAAGCAAACCTGACTGATCCGTAGCAGTAATGCAGCAGAATGGCTAGAAATGGGCCCTCTTATTGGCCCATGAGGCCCTATTGCAGCCACAATTGTTCCACTTCCGTATGCCGCCATATCACCTTTAAGAGTGTGCGCACCATACGGTGATCAAGACCCACTAAAGAAACACATTTATAGAAATACTAGTGCTTGCTGGTCCAAGGTTTAGATTCTCTTTCTAATCGAACAATTACAAATACTTTATCGGCTTCACAAACATGCCCATATGCAGCGGCAAAAAGCAAGTTTGGGAATTTACTATTCCAAATAAGTAATTACGTAAGCTTAAGAGGTTGCCTACAGTTATTCTTCAGGGCGAAAGCCCTGCTAGATATCACTCACCCCATGGGTACTCTCCACAAATTTCTCAAGCTTTCAAATCAACGCTGATTGTCATTCACTTTTAACAACCCATGAAAACCCTTTGGGTACAATTTCTTTACCTCAATAAGCTGTTTTGGAATATAATGTCTCAAAAGAGTAAAACGCGGCACTCGGGTCTAGTACTGGCAACAATCTCTGGCTCGTTAGCCAGACCCTAGGCCTGGGAGGTTTGCTACTATGCGAGATTGAGGCTGGGGGGATTTCGAAACAGCAAGTTAATAATCCTAGCCGCTGAAGTTGATAGCATGCACATGGATGCATGCACACCACGGGGAAACTCTTGTTCCTATTAAAATTGCATGACAATGGATCCTGGTTTTATTGTGTTGAGTAGTTACTTATAAATATTACTCGCCCATCCCTCAGTCACTTATATGACCAGTGCTTAAACCTTCAAGGCTTTCCCTCCCTTTGTTATTTTTGCACCTTTATTAAGAGTTGTATTGTACTGCATTTGCAGCTTGGGCATCCTTTTACCTCATCCAAAAGCATGTTTCTCACCAAGCACTGCTTCTCAGCAGTATCAATATCATTGACCCTTCTTTTCCTCCTCCCATCTCTAATCACTGCAGAAAACTGTAGCTCACTCCCCCTCGCAATTCCAATAACAAATGTCACTCTCAGCTCCACCGGCTATACCAGGCGTGGGATCGCCGCATCACTAGGCACGCCCGCCCAAGACTTCTCAGTGCGCACCTCTACCAGTCTTAACAGCACCGTCTTCACCACATCTACAAATTGCGTCGACAGCTCCACCAGCACCGAGAACCGCTGCATCATGGTCAAGGGTGGTGTCTACGACCGTGACAACTCAAATACTTGGTCTGGGCCCATGACGAAGCAGGAGTTTCTCAAAGTGGCCGCTGCAGCCACTCTTAAGGGCGTCGATATTACACTGGGCGAGGACACGTTCGAAATTGACGGCGTGACGCTGACAAGCTTGCCGATTGGTGTGGAGGGTGGTACGGATATATATAGGCACGAGCACTCTTGGGCTCGCCGTGAACTCGAGTCTAGTAGATGCGATGGTGGACGCGGGCGATATCCCGTCAAGGATGTGGGGAATGGATTATGGCTGGATGGGTGGGCGCAACGTCGGATACGTGGGCAGATGGAGAGCTGGTGTTGGGAGGGTATGATAAGGCTAGGGTAAAGGATGATAAGCTGTCATGTACTCGCAGGCGTTTCCGGAGAATCTGGAAGACTCAGATGGGTGTGCACTGATTGTGTACATCACGGGCATCACGATGAAGAATAGTACGGATAGTCCGGATCTGATGGAGTCGAAGGGGGATTCTTTGAGGTGGGTGAAAATCCGGTTGCTGGGATCATTGGCTTTGCTTGGCAGGAAGTAGTTGGGGGGAATTAATGGCTAATGGGAATTATAAGGCATGCATATCACCCGACTATGACTTGATGACGATGCCCTACGATTTGTTTACAGTGTTCAACAGCGCAATGGACGGCGTCTACGTTAACCGTACCACCGATGATTTCTACCTCTGGGGTTTCGAATCCGACAAAGCAAACGGGTAAGTCTCAATCTCAATATCAGTGTCCAAAAACCTATACAATACACAAACCACTAACCTATCCTTAGCTACGATGGCTATATGGAGATCAAATTCTCTACGGGCCTGACCGTTACAATCCCCAACCACCAGTTGATTCTCCCCTACCGCGACTACGACAAGAACGGCAAGCCTTACATCAAAAACGCCAAACAAAACGTTCTCATGATCAACAGCCCACAACAGGTAAACGAAAACGATCTCCCGCTCCTTGGCCTCCCATTCCTCTCCTCGGCATACCTCGTCGTCGACCCCGACCAGGGCAGGTTCCTACTCGGTGAATCCCAGCGCTCGACAACCTCCGACCTCGTCGCCGGCTCCCTCGACCTCTGTCCCGCCAATGCCGAATCCACCCCCACAGGGATCATCGATAGCCCCGCATCCACATCCACGAGCTCTAACTCACCGTTAGTAACAAATTCGACCTCCTCCTCTTTATCCTCGGCCGCGGTCATTGGCGGTAGTATCGGCGGCGTTGCCGCTGTGGCGATCATTGGCATCCTCGCATTTGTGTTTTGGAGGCGCTCAAAGAAGCAGAAGATGGCCGAGGTGGAGAGGAGCGGCGCGACCGCCGGCGAGACGATGCATATGATGAGTGTGCCATCGGAGCTCGACGGCAGCTCAACCTCCGGGAGTATGCATGTGGCGGGTGCGGGAGGGATTGTGGAACACTATAAGCCGCCGGCGGTGTCGTATGAGCTGCCGGGGACGATACACGAGCCTGTGTATGAGGCCGACTCGGGCCCGGTGTACTACACAGAGCAACCACAGCAGCAGCAGCACGCGAATTGAGCGGCGCCGCTTACACTATCCTTTATTTCCTTTTTTTGGGTGTATATATTTTGGAGCGTGAATACTTGTAGGTATGGAAGTACAGTATATACATGTAGGTTGTGGGAAGCTTGATTTGCTATTGGGATGTATAGTACAGAGGCAGAGGACTACGTACGGGGCGGACGGGTTGCAGTGCGTCGAGCGCATGCAATACAATAATGGACAACGAAACATAACCACCAAATGAACCCTAACCTACAGTATCCAAACTTCCCGCGAACTACAAATACACGCAGCACGTACCTAGAACAAACAACTATACCTACTCGACTCTACCCAACATACCGCTAGGCCAAATCATCACTCGGAACACTCGGCCGGCTACTGCCTAGGAATACTAAGTATCTCCATTGCATGGACAATGTGAGGGCCTAAGTACTACAGCATATGTACTCTATGAGTATTTCTACCACGCCAGCAGACACACTCTTCCAAAGATCCTCATTCCACTTATAGCTAGGCCAACTAATACACAATACTGTGATAAGCATTAATTCACCACACTGTTAGGAGAGCTAGCTATTTATACGGGTGGCTTAGTTTTTCCCCATGTCTCTCCCTACTCTAGCGATTTCCGGTCGGCACAAAAGCCGAGTAGGCACCTCTCGCCCTTTCTTGATCTCGAACGATTAATGCGTGTGGGGGACAGGGTTCACCCATGTGAGTCGAAGATCCATAGACTAGCTACTGCAGGCAGCGCCAGGGGCGTTGGCTGGGAAAACCAGGTATCTACGCTAACTGGAAAGAAAAAAAGGGGGGGAAGGAAGAAAGAAGGATGGAAGGATGGAAAAGCTTGGTCTACAGAGATGCCGGCCGGCTGCGGCGAGCTTAATTGTGTGGTGGTGGGACGATGAGTGATTTTTTGTGATTCGGGTGTAGGTGTAAATAGAGGAACGGCGGGCTGTGGCTGGTGTGGTTTTGTTCAGGGTAACTAGCGGGATCATGAACTGTCACTCGCATGGATATACACGAACGGTTGTTTTTGGTTTAGCTTTAGTTTGCTTGGCAAGGAATCATCTGGAGTCAGATAAAAACCACTATGAAAAATGCTCCTCAAATCCTATTTTTCGGAGCGGGGGAATTGGCCAGCCCGCGAACCAGGCCGGTTAAAGCTATCTGGGCGGGTCAGGTATCTGGTACTTGTGGTCCCCGTCGATCCCAGAGCAGACCGGTACTTAATATAGCTGCAAACTCTAAAGCGGCTATTTTTCTCGGGATATAAATCCACTTCCATGCTCGGGAAAACGATGCTATATATACTAGTACCTCTCTATAAATGTTTATTTGAATGCGCCATATATCGCTTGACAAAGTTTCCCCATGTTATTAACGTTAGCTCCAAATCCTTTAAACGCATTATTTGAGTTACTACCACCATCTATACACACGTTGAACAAGTGATGCGCAGATTCCAACTAATGATAGTAGGGGATGAGTGAGGGCCATGAGAAACCTCCTCCCGAGCCGTTGCTTCGATATCCACCCGCCGTGTCGCCTTGAAGCACCGGAAGCTTTGAGGTCTCGAGTTGTAAGATACCTCGTTCGCTGGGCGTTCCAGAATTTGTTGTCACGCCTCGGCGCTCGGTCTTAAGCTTCCTATGGTCTTTCTGGAGATGCCTTCGATCCCCCCAACCTTTTGGGCGTTGAATGTCCTTTATCTCGTGTCTTCTCTCCGCTCCGCTACTTTGGGTACCCACCACCGTCCACTTCTAAAGAAGACTCTTCTCGTTCTTGGCGGGATGCACCTAGCTAGCCCCCGGTTACATCTAACTGCATATAAGGGCCTGCATATCTGTACTTTGAAGCAATGCTCGATGACGTACATGGCCGGACTTGGTGCTCTTCCAGCTCACCCACCGTTTGAGGACTTGCCCTTACTTAAGCTTGGCGCCCCACCTTGATTCGGCTATACAGTCGACTCTCGCTATAAAGGTACTGGTTGCAAAGGTAATCGTCTTGTAAGGGTAGAAATTTGAGTTTCATATATTTTCTGTGTAAAAAGAAGGGTAAATCCCAAAATACTTGCTAGAAGAGTACCTTAACGGATTTTGGTGATTACCTTTATAAGTAGAGTAGGGTTAGGGTTGAGAGAGGGCGAAATTACCCAGCCCAACATATTTTCGGTGTTAAACATTGAAAAAGTTAGAAGTAAAACATCATTTCAAAGCCACATTCAACATCCAAAGCCCTTTTAAATGTCTTCTTTTGTCACTCCCGCCAATGCTATTGAGAGGGACACCTTTGTACCGAATCAGGCCCCAAAAAAAAGGCAAGCCTTTACGGAAGGGGAAAAAAATGCTATTTGCGCTTGGGTGAATGACCAGTACGCCAGAACTGGGAAACAACCTACATGGCAGTGTATTGCTCAATGGTTTAAAGAAAAATATGAGGGAAAGATCATCTCTCAGTCAACGATTAGCAGTGTTTTGTTGAAGCGTTCCGCCGATTCAGCTCTGCTCAGTCAACCTGCCTTTGGCCCAGAAATAAAACGGCGAAGGAATGTCGCCTGGCCGCAACTGGATTCGGTTTTGTTTGAATGGTATGAAAGATTACAGAGAAGGACAACCATAACCAGTTTAGTTTTAAAGGAAAAGGCTCGGGAATTTTTTGAAGTTCTTTACCCTGGTATGTTTATAAAGTGCAAAAGTGAAATTATTTCAGATACTGACTGTAGACGGTAGGCGTTACACCTCCTATGTTTTCAGAAGGCTGGCTCGATACTTGGAAAAAAAGACATGGTATCAAACAATTCGTACAACATGGTGAATCGGGCGATGCTGTTGCAAAAGGCTGTGTTTTGGGCCTCAATCAAATGAATTCCGTCAGGGAAATATTGAGATCCTATGACTTGGAAGACGTTTACAACTTCGACGAAACAGGTTATTACTACCGCATGCAACCAGATAGACGTCTCAGCACTGAAGTATTGGAGGGGGTCAAAAAAGATAAATCAAGAATTACTGTAGGGTTCACCTGCAATGGTACCGGATCCCATAAGATGAAAATGTGGGTGATTGGTACAGCGGAGAACCCACATTGCTTCAGAGGACTTGCACGTACTGCTGAAGGACTTGGTGTCTTCTATCGTTACAACAAGACTGCTTGGATGAAACATGAAATTATGATGGAGTATCTATTATGGTTTGACAGTTGCATGAACGGTAGAAGAGTGGTTTTACTTATGGATAACTTTTCGGCACATGAACTCGCTGTTAAACAATTAGGGGAACATGCACTTCGCAATACAACAATTGTATGGCTTCCAGCAAATACTACTTCGGTCTGGCAACCCTTGGACCAAGGTATCATCAACTCATGGAAAGCACATACCAGGCGTTACTATGTACGCTATCTTGTCAAAGAGATTGACAAACTACCAGGAGGCCCAGTATCATCTGATGAGCTGCCAAAAGTCAATATTCTACAGGCTATTCGGTGGGCTATTGAGGCATGGAATTTTGACGTCAAAGCATCGACCATCTTTAACTGCTTCACAAAAAGTACTGTCAAGTTCTTTGAACCTTCCTTTCTTTCTCCCGAGAATTTGGAATCAATCAAAATTGCCAATCCTGGCCGAATCCTTACAGAGTTCATACAACTTGAAGAAGAGGAAATTGAGAACGAACAGCCACCTGTTCCTTCATTCCGTACTCAAAGTTTGGATATAGATGAAGATCCATCAGTAAATGAAGAAATGCAACACTTGCGGAACGAGGTACAGACAAATCTTGAAATCCTACAACAAGCAAATCTCATCGAGGAAGGTGAAATCAATCTAAATCATTTTCTAAATCCATCCGAAGAGATTTTTGATGATAGCATAGAGGACTTAGAGGTAAGACAGAATTATTCAAATGAAAAATAATATCAGCTAATCATATTAGTTATATGTTCTTGAATTTCACGGTTCAATCAATAAGCATAATTCAAACAATTCAACAAAACTTACAACGACAGTCAATCCTGAACCCGAAATGAGTCCTGATACAGGAAATACTAGCAATCAATTGCAATTCACCAACTCTTGTATCAATCACTTCGAAGCAATTGAATCACTCGAGCACTTGGAGCAATTCTATACCAAGAATGGCGACCCATACCATGACAAGCAAAATGGCAATAACCCAACTCTCACATATCTAAGAAAACTTAAGCGCAGTACTGAGAATATGCGGTTACAATCAATGGGGGCGCAGGAGCAGAAGAAAATCTCGAATTTTTTCAAAGCTTAATAGTGGCCGGGAGTGTAACAGGGCCACAGTAGGGCTGTTACAAAAATACCTGTTCTACCAGTCAAGCCATACGGCCCTAGGTTAACCGCAGCTGGTTCTTCATCGATGGGTGAAGAGAAGGGCAGATGAGCCCCTACCTCTATTGGTATAGAGGGTAGAGATCCTGGCGAGCAAGAAGTCTTACAAGTCAAGCTAGACGACTGGACCAAAATCAGAGCAGCAGGACGAGCAGACCAAATAAGGAAGGGTAACCCCAAACATAAGTTACCCTACCTTGGCATTCAACCTTTGAGGCGCAATAACTTTGCAGCCGATGCCCGGAAAATATGCTTTACCACGTCAGAAAGGATCCTGGCGATGCTCCGGTCCATTTGGGGTGGTTGAATGAACGCATTGCGGAGTTGAGGAAACACTGCAAAATAAACACGTTTTAGACCCCCAAAAATAACCCCCGGAGCGTCGAACCGCCGGAACCCTCCTGTTTCAGCCCGGTGCATCTTTGGGGGGAGTAAGAGTGCGACCCAAACTACCAAAGCAAACCTTTGCTTTAAAAACACCCAAATCTATTCTAAATACTCTGAATAAGCAATTGCTGTCTGGTCGGCTGTTTCCTCTAGTTCCTAGGATCCCGACCCTTTCTTGGCAAGGATTGCGAGATTTGACTCGGACGAAAATTCGTCCGCGGTGTGGTAGCAACTCTTCTCCTCCCCCCTGATAGAAATTAGGTGGTGCCCCCAGATTATTTGAAAGGCGGACGGCCAGTGAAAAAAGGAAAGAGGTAATGAAGGAAGGGGCGCCGAACTTCCATAAAGGAACTCGGTTGCCCCAGCTTGGTTTCGGGGGGATGAGGGAGTCTTTACCAGCGAGGAGCCCCCTTAAAGTTATTAAGTTTCTAGACTACAAATAACGATCAAACAAATGAAACTCTATCTTTCCATCGAACGAGCCGAAAGGATAGCTTGTCGTATTCCTTTCTGCCTATCTACCTGATCGAAGTCACGGTCGCGCCCTTACAAGGCACCCCCGTTACAGTAAGAAGAGGTTACACAACTCGCTGGATCATGCCTACCTCATAGCACTCCGTGATCGGACGGCTTTACGAGCAACTCTCCGAGCGTGGATGGTGTTACCACCATCCAGCTCCAGGAGATCAGTAACAACCGCACCAGTTGAGGATCTAAGCCTTGTCCCCCGCCGAGATCGACTAGCGTTAGATAAAAACGCTTGTACAATAGACGAATTGATCGCAATGAACAAAGAGAGGAATAGAATAAAGAAAAACATTATTGCTGAAAGGAGGTGATAAATTTGGTGTTGGGTGTGGAAAGATCGAACTCCCTGGAGTGTAGAATGAATAGAAGGAAAAGAATTCTTACCCTCCTTAGTTCGACGGATACCCCGCTTTTATAAGCGAACTCCTATTCCAGTTCCGAGAATCAGCGTGGTTAGCCGAAGCAGGAGTTCGGTCCGGCTTTAACCGAACCCGGCACTAACCGTGGAAGGAGACAAGGACACCGAGTTTACCTGGTCTGAGGGATAGGAGCATGCGTTCGAAGTCCTGAAAGAGGCCTTCCATCCGCCCCCGTACTAGCCCACTTTGATGCCGAGCTAGCTACCAAGATTGAGACCGATGCCTCCAACTTCGCTAAATCTAGCATACCGTCCCAATTCCACCGAGATGACAACAAGTGGTATCCAGGAGTCTTTTACTCCAAAATGATGTCACAAGCCGAACGGAATTATGACGTTCACGACAAGGAGTTAGGTGCCATTGTGTCATGCTTCAACGAGCGAAGTCTCCCAGGAGAAACCTCCAGCCGGAGGGAAACCTCCAGCCGGAGGGAAACCCCCGGTGGAGAAAAAAAACCAGAACCCAGAACCAGCGGGTAATGGAGGACAAAATGGAATAGTCCCCCCGGTTGGTGGCGATCCCAACCCGGGAGGGGACTCAGATAGTTCAGATTCGGAGCCTGAGTATGGAGATAGGAGAGGATGGCGGAGATACCTCAGGAAGATGCTGGAGAAGCAGCAGACAGAGCTCCTGGCCTCCATGACACAGTTCATGAGACCTCCGGCCCCCTCACACCCCTCCGCTGCCTCCAGGGCCCGAGAACCAAAGGCACACCCTCAGGCCAAGTTCAATGGCAAAGCAAACAATGTGGAGACCTTCATCAGGCAATGTGAGAATGTCTTCTCCATTGAAAGCCAGTTCTTTACCTACGAAGAGGTTAGGATCCGATATGCTGGTAACCTGATGGAAGGAGAAGCCCCAGCCAACTGGTATGAGGCTTACCACAGCTCCATTGACCAAGCTTCTGCCAACCGGATAGCTGGAATGTCTGTGGTGTTAGATGAGAAATGGAAGTGCTGGGATTCCTTTGTGGATGCTCTCAGAGCAGCCTTTGGCGAAGCTATCTCTAGGGATGATGCGGCAGCCCAATGGAAGGCCCTTACCCTCTGTAACGGAGCCATTTCAACTGTCTGGTGTATGAGTACACACAGGGCCCGGTTACATGCTGAGAGTTATTGTTAGAAGCCAGTTGCACAGTGACATGCAAGTACCGGCAGTGTGGTTAGCTACCAACTGTCAGAGTAACTACATTCTGAGCGCTAGGAAGAGGATCTACTCATGGGAGCAATGACTGACGAGTCTGTGCCTCGCCAATGATTAGAAGGCTAGCCAGAGTGAAGCTCTGAGTGCTCAGCGATCCTCCACATCCTCTGAGCATTGGAAGTCCGCCAGCAGTGGAAGAGACTATGCCTGGGAAGTCTACAATAAGCGGAAGCTCTACAGCAATGATTAAGCTTACACCTGAGCGGCAGCTCATTCATGCAGGCCCCTAGTTGTGTGGCAACAAGGGCTGCAGGTGTTACAAAGGCTTCGACTAAGGGTGGTTGCCTTCGGAATCGGAAGCACTCGCTGACGCTTAGAGAGAAGCGGGGTAGCGATGGTATTGCTTCCCTTCCACTAGGAGGCAGCACCGGAACTTAGTAAGGAAGTAGGAGCAGAGAATAGAATCCTTTGGAGTATAAGTACTCAGGATCATTCCCGCCCAAACTGACCTGATCCTTATCTTCGCGGAGACCATTATCGGTAGCAGAGCCCTTAAAGATTATTGAGTTCTAGCGATAGTATCTTTGAATAAATCTGCACCTGATTTCTATCTTGCACGGCCGCATCTATTCTATTGGATTCTAGCGATACATAGATAGGCTGCCCCCGTTACAGATAATCTTTAGTGCTCAAATCACCTTCAGATTATTCTTTCCTCTCACAACATGTCCGCCCTCCCGGCTCCCCAAGCGCCTCTTCAGATTGAATGGCAACCGGCAGCTTTAGAATTCCAAGAGGGACAGACACAGTTGATCCACAAGCCCAGGACGGCGCTCCAGTCCTACATCCCCGGATGTGAGCCCACCTGGCAAGATACCGACGAAGTCACCCTACAGGACTTCTTTGCGGAATTGCAGCGCTACCTGAAGCACAGCCTGCAACAGGAAGTCATCAAGGCCGGCAATGCGCTAGCCTTGGTGCAAGAAAGACAAGAAGCTGAGGCAGTCCTGCTCCGGAATGCTTTCGGCTATATGCAAGAACAAGTCTCCTCAGTCCAGGCACAACTCCAGAGTTATGCTCAGAGAGATGACTTAGGAGCGGATGAGATGGAGGACATTGAATGGACAAACCCGGCGATGCCCCCTAACTTCCTGGAAGACATCCAGAGAGCCATTAATGAAGGAAGGCTCTCCATCGCCAGGATGCCTACACCCGCACCTGTCCCCAATCCCGCACCTCCGCAAAACTCCAGGGCCTCATCCAGAGCGGCCCTGAGAACCTTCCACCAAAGGGTGAACCCCTTTGCAGCGTTTCCAGTCAGGTCTATCAGGCAGAGGACACTTCCCCTGATGATGCCAGCGGCCATTGGAGGCTCACCTTTACCTCCTCAGAGAGCCCCATCAAGCCCGTTGGCAGGCGGCCTAGCAAGGCCCCCCCGACAACCTATAGGAGACGACGATTACTACTCCCAGACACCGGTCAGGAGTGGTCCCTCCAGGCTCCCTCCAGCCTGGGTTCGCCAGGGGTTATCCCCAGAATCCCACAGAGGCTCACCACCCCCGGAGTCACCTAGGAGGAACCTCCAGCCAGAAGGAAACCCTGGTGGAGAAAACCAGAACCCAGAACCAGCGGGTAATGGTGGAGGAGATGGAATTGTCCCCCCAGTTGGCGGCGCTCCCAACCCAGGAGGGGACTCAGACAGTTCAGACTCGGAGCCTGAGGATGGTGACAGGAGAGGATGGCGAAGGTACCTCAGGAAGAAGTTGGAGAGGCAACAGAAAGAACTCCTGGCCTCCATGGCACAGTTCATGAGACCTCCGGCCCCCTCACACCCCTCCGCTGCCTCTAGGGCCCGAGAACCCAAAGCACCCCCTCCGGCCAAGTTCAATGGCAAAGCAGACAACGTGGAGACCTTCATCCGGCAATGTGAGAACGTCTTCTCCATTGAGGGCCAGTCCTTTACCTCTGAAGAGGTCAGGATCCGATATGCTGGCAACCTGATGGAAGGAGATGCTCCGGTCAAGTGGTATGAAGCTTACCATAACTCTATCGACCAAGCTTCTGCCAACCGGGTAGCTGGGATGCCTGTGGTGTTGGATGAGAGATGGAAGCGCTGGGATTCCTTTGTGGATGCTCTCAGAGCAGCCTTTGGTGAAGACATTTCTAGGGATGATGCTGTAGCCCAATGGAATGCACTTACCCACACAGCCAAGGGAGGAATAGACTCCTTCCTGAATAGCATTATTCAGCTGATGTGGAAGACTGGCTACGAGGGTCAGTTAGTGGATGATAAGATCCTTAGTTCCCTCCTTCCGGACCTAGGCATGAGTTGGGCTCTCTTTACCCCCAAGCCCAAGTCCTTGATGGAGCGGATAGCTGCTCTAAGAGAGCTAGGACACACCCATGAGAGGTACCAGACGGTAGCCGCTGAGAAAGCACCCGCCAG